TGTTATGTTCTTCCCTCAGGCGCTGTACTGCGTCAGCGGCATTTAAGCCGACTTTAGCAAAAAACTGATTGAATTCGTTGGTTAAGACTGTCACATCCTTTGTAAAGGCTGGTCTCTGCTTATCTTTGGAGGGGATGGCGCGATTAATAATTTTCCAGAGTGAGCCAGAGTTGTTTTTGTTAGCTGTGACCTCTTCAAAGGTGTGATCTCTTTCAGCTTCTTGTAGCTTTTTCTTGACCAAGTCACGGGAATGTTTGAAATTTATCCACTCGGTGTCTTGGCGAGACTGTATGAATTGCTTCAGGAGGAGATCTCGCGATCTCATGAGATCCTTGATTTCCTGGTTCACAAAAGGGCACGGTCTACTCCGAAATTTAATTTGTTTCACGGAAGCGTGTAAGCTCAGGACAGACTGCAAAGTGTCATTTAAAATATTGAGCTTAGAGTCTACATCGGTTTGATCGAAGATAGTGAGCAGGGAATCCGCTTCATTAGTTAGATCCGTGACAAAGAGATCCGCATTATACTTCTTGTAACTTCGAAAAGAAATATGCTCTACTATTTTGTTTCTGAGTGCAATCATGCACTGAAAAATCGCACATGTCAATTCTTCGTGTTTTCCTACCATTTGTGACTTTGTGTGGGACCACGGTTTTTTTTGCTACCATGGTAACATGACTTGATGACTTCTCCTCTCTATTAGTCCCTATAGAGCGTTTTCACATGACGTCACGGTGGCCATATTGGTGTTCCAAAACAATGAAACGGCGGCCATGTTGGTGTCCCAAACCAGTCCTGTGGAGTTGAACTCTTTTCTTATGTAAACGCTTTCATTTGTTCTAATAAATTTGCATAGCTGCTGGTCACGTGAGTGAAAACGCTTTATATATGGATAATAGCCCGAAAAAGTCTGAACCTATAGCATTGTGGGAAGATTGGGGAGAGATACGCGGGCGTGGTTTGCGCAATAGAGAGGAGAAGTCGTTACTTCACGTTGCCATGGTAGCAAATTTTTTGGATGACAACAAACCGAAAATTCACTTGAAAAGAGAATTCGCACCGTTTTAAACTTCATCGATCTTATTCGATTTCATTTAATTTGTCAAAATTTGGCGAAATTTTCTGGGTTGAATCCCAAATGATCGTATCTAAGTTTAGAAAACAGAAAACGAAAATCTTTCTGTTTTGTTCACCGACTCCGTGAAGTGGGCGCGTGAAATTAGTAAGTTTCATTGCATGTCGCAGTCATGCAACGAGGCTAAAAAGCCTGATGCACGTGCAAAGTTGTCGTTTTACTTATGTAAACCTACGGATTTTTTGCCGTTCTCGTTGCCGTCGCAACGCCGTTGCTTAAGCTCCCTGATCCAAACATTTAGCTTTCATGGTAACGTGACGTCACACTTCCCCCCTCCATTGCAACGAGAGTTGCAGCCACTCCCATAGGTAGTTTGCAACTACAAAACATCAATGAAAACTCTTAAAAGTCGTTTTGTTATCAAGTATACTTTGACTAGCATGCAGCGTTATTTTGCTGTATTTATCTGGTAAGGGAAGGGAAGGAAGTACGGAGCTAGCCGCTTCACTTCCGCTACCGTCCGAATAATTGTTCACACTGCATAAAGGGCAAAATGTGGCATAGAACCTGTAACTGACGCTCCACCCTCGAGATCGGCGCGGCGCACCTTCGCTCCGTCATAGAAATAAAACCTAAACCGTCATGAAATAAAACCTAAAGCCTAAACCACTGTTCTCACTTGTGAACAGAGGCCATATCCGGTATGGTTTTCGTGCCAGCGGAAAAACTATCCGATATAATGTGAACATAGCCTCGGTTATTCGTGACAAAGGGACAAACAGAAAGAATCTACTTAAAAGCGTTTATTCTCTAACAGTGAGCTTAAAATTGCATCTAAAAATATTCTACACAGTAGGCCAATTCAAACAATAATTTTAAGTGTAGATTTTTTCTACTTATTTTGCCCAGGCAAAACTATCTATGTGTAATAACTTAACCACGTATTTTCATAATAGATTCTAAACACTAACCCCTTTGAACTTAAATTTGAAATAACAATGTCATCATTTTTTACTGTAAGACTGTCACTTAAATATACACCGTAAACCAAGGCCATTGGCCAGAATTAATTAATATCGTCTTTTTTGTCATCATTAAATTTAGCAATCCCGACAACTTAATAATACAAGCCGTAATCTGCATTAATAAACAAAACTTATAATATTCTGGTTGTTATTATCAACTGAAACCATTGTGCAAACGTTCTTATATTAGTAAAATTGCAACTTGACAATGTCGGAAAAAAATATTATTCCCTTTTAATTTTCCTTAGAGCCCCGAACGAGAAAAAATGTATCCAGTGGCGAATCTAGACCTTGATGCAAGGGGGAGGGACACACTAAAACCGATATGAAAATCTCAGCGCCTTGGCTGCTGTAGGCCTTGGGTTTGGTCAAAGGGGGCCAGGTCGCAGGGGCTCCGGGACTCCCCCAACACACACACCGTAGATCCGCCGCCACTGGTCTCATGAACATCTAATTCAATTTTGCTGAAGTTAACTTTAAAGAAGAAGTATCGTGAGAAGTTGCCCTATTTTTCGAATAACTTGCGCTACAATAATGACGGTACATTCCTTGATGACAAAATGGGCTTTGACAGCTTTGAAGCTTGCGAAAGACAACAATTTTATTCTCCGTGGTGTAAAAAACCAGGAAAGCGGGAAGGTCCTTGTGATTTTTCGCAAACAACAAAATGAAACCACAAATCGTCGGGCTTCTTTTTTCCCAACCTTAATTTAAACAAAGACAATCATGAACAAGTTAATATACTAAGGATGGCACAGTTGGCTAGTACATCCTTGTTTCAACCTCTCTCTCCTTTCTGTGTAGCTTTAACTAGCTTTAAGAACTCTTAAAACGGAGAATTGATGGAGAGAGGGGGGTAAAATGAGCGCACCATCGACCTCAAGTTTATCAGTTATCAGGTTGTCACGAGTTCTCGACGTAAAATATGGTTGGTTTTCCTTGTTTTACGAATATAGTTACTTTTAGCGAGGCCCGGCACTGCTTTAAAAAAATGGCATTTCACTGAATTTTGGATCTTCACGTAGCGGCACAAGATCTTGGTGTACACTGCTTCTTTAAGTTTTTCATCACAAGCAAACTATTTAACAATTATTCCTCGAGCCCGAATGGGCCTTTGGCCTCATGGGCTATTGACTCAGAGGCCATGAGGGTGAGTCCTTACTAACAAAATCATTTTAGGTTGATCAACCAGTTTTTATAGCTCTTTTTCGTTGAAATCGGTCAATTTCGATCTGAAATTAGGAAAAAACGGCGGTTTATCGGCCGCGAAAAGCGATGATCACCCGCGTGACATAAAGCGTAGCAGTAGCTAAACCAATCAGAACACAACATTGATAATAGACCCCTAGTTGGATTTTACTAATTCAGTATATCAATTTGTTACTAGCAGCTCCAATTAAATGTGTCATGCCTATATCTTACCTGTTATTACAGTAAGGCGGTTTAAATATTATGTTGTAAATTTTAAAAATTATTTTCTTAAAAAAAAGCATTCAAACGAGGCTAATTAACAATCAATAGCAACTTCGAATAGTTCCGCACAGGCCAATCCGTAATAGTCTAAAAGCGGTTTTCATGCGATCTGACTGTTTGTATCGTTTCCAAATATATTATGGTTTTCCTATATCGTTTAAACAAATCGAGACGATCGAAGGACAAACGTAGATGTCTATAAGACTGATTTACAATTACAACGAAAGCATAAGCAAAAACAACTTATGACCTAGTTATCAGAAACAATTTTCTCCTTGCAGAGGAAACCAAAATGATCAGGATTCTCCTGTGACTGTGCCTGTTGCTTGTGCTCATATTTGCATACTATCTATTTGTTCATTATAAAAGAGCATGTTATCTAGACTAACCTTTCCTAAACTCGTTTGGTATGACTGCTTTTAAAGCTAAACTGCAAACTAGATATTAGTTTTCGCAAGAGCCATAATGGGCTCTTGCTTTCGCATATTTAGTGATGTGCTCATCCATATTTTTTCTTCAGTTTAAATATAAACTAGAACTAAGGCGGTGTCGATCAAAAGTTGCTTTTTGTACCATCTCCTTCAGGGAAAGTTCACCAGCTTTGGTTTCCAGGAACCCAGCAAATTTGGTCGTGACACTGGCTTCATTAGGCCTGGCGAAAGAATACAAGACGTTAATGTAAATCATTACAGTTAGTAAATCATTACAGTTAGCTCCACTTTGTTTTTATAAGAATATGATTTTTCCGAACAAGGCTGAATATTCTCTCTTTCCCCCTCTGATTTTAGGCTTAAAATATGTTTGTATCATTCTTAAATTATATTAAAAAAGAAAGAATTTATCATTTTCTTTTTGTAGACTGCGAGCAGTCTCTCTTTTTCTTCAGATTTAGTGCGGGGAGTGCACGCGAACGCGAGCGCGAGCGTCGAACGGCGAAGCCGCGAGAGGCGAGAAACGAGGGCGGGAGCCCTCTCTAATCTCGTGCCTATAGTCACGCGCGTGGTCATTTGCGTGTCTCGCATGTTTTGCTCGACGGACCAAGAAACAAGAGAGACTGCTCGTAGTCTATCTTTTTGCGGCTTGTTCATTTCTTCAGTTTGAGCTATATACCATGCTAGTATGCTATCATCCTAAGCTTGTGCTATATACCGTTCATCGAACTGTCATTAGCATAGAACATTTGGCTTATTTCGGCAGCGAAACCTCACTTTTTAAATGAATCGGCGTTTTTTCAAACTTTTTCGCGTTTATCCCATAGTTCGCTGAAAATGTCAAATGTAGGCGGATTTCCCTAGAGGACCGTACTCAAGTTTAGAAATGAGCAAAAAATCTTCGTCGCTAATTTACGTCCTCCATGAAAACGTGAAATTAGGCATTTTCACGTCGTAGTCGCGCAGTGACAGCAAAGAAATGTACAAAAAAGCGTGATGCACGTGCAAAGTTGTTGTTTTGCTTAATCAGGATAAACTTATTTCTTTTTTTTTTTGACGTTCTCGTTGCCGTCGCCGTTGTCTTTCCTAAAGCTCCCTAGTTTTTTTACACGGTTAAGATAAAAACGTATAATTCAGATTTTCAACACACAAAACAACATCGCTTTCAAAGTCTCAGCCTCGGTTTTATTCTTAAACTATTCTTAAAATTTCGCAAATTTCAGCCTCGATATTTTTATAAAAAAAGAGTGTGCTCATTTTCATTGGAACAATCGGACAGGTAATCACGTGAACCAGTGAGAAAATAGCTTCCCTCACTGCATAGCGAGCGTTGTCAAAATCGACAATTTTCTTAGCTTAAGGGCTTAGACAACTCAAAAGGATGCTAGTGTTTCGATACTTGTGATGTTACAATGAAAATGCTTATTCGATCGTTCCTGCAGGTAATGACGAAAAAATTGGCAGCCGGGCAGACATAGCTACTTCTCATGAGTTCATTCATCTTGGTTTTTGATACAGTCGAACCCCCATGTGCGCTTACTTCTCATATTAAGCGACCACCTATCAAAACACCTAAATTTTCCCAGTCTAATCATTACAGTTGGAGCCTCTAGTAAACAACGATCTCTCGTAAGCGGCCGACACCACTTTAACCTGTCTTGGCCTCAATGCATGCCTTGCATAAATCAAGTTGTTGCAGTTGCAAAAAGTTGTTGCAGAAAGTAGAGAGTAGTGCTAATTTTTGCGACAAAATCTGTACATGTTGCGCATTTTACTGGCCGAAGTCAAAATTGTTTTGCAGCAGGTGACGTAACTCCAGTATATGATATGACTCCTTCATCATTTTATCCAATCAGAAGTCAGCATTCACGCAACTTGCAACAACCTGATTGGTAGCGAGACAGTTTTGAACGCGGGTGGTAAAACGCGCAACATCACTTTTCAACTCGTTTTGTAACAAAATTGCAAAATACTTTGCACGTTTTTGTTGCCCGAATAACCGTAGCTTTGTTGAAACGCAGTATCCCGACTTTATTCAGGTTTTGAGGCCACGGCATTTTAGAACCTCCCTCGTAGCTACGCTTAAGTCTCTGCATTAGTAGAACTCGGCTGAAGCCGCAAAAAATTACTTCTCAAAGTTTTACCAACCCGGGTTTATTTTCTCTAGGTAAACTTATCAAGACATCATTTGGAGCTGTCATTGGTACCAGTCCTTCCGGCTGGCTTGTTCCTAAGTCATCAACTATTAAGATTTTCGGCTGCAGAAAGAAATGCAAAAGATTTTTTAATGAATGAATGATAATTTATGATACTAAGCAGCAGGAGAGAGAAGTAAGAGGGCCATAGCTATGGGTCCTCCCCGACGGTTAGAAATATAATTGACAGTTAAATTTTGAGCCTTTGACGGATGACGGTTAACCTCCTTAATAGGCCCTTTGCAGCTGGTCATTCACGTGGTACAAAACCGAAATATCATGTTGGAAAGCCCCTTTTTTGAATTACGCAGCACTAAGTAAGAAAAATGGGGTGCTAGGGAGACAACGGCTGCTAGTTCAAGTTAGCTTCTGCGTATGCAGCTATTTCGAGAAAAGTTGTCTGAAAAAATGTGCACGTGACAATTCCGAAAGGTAACAGGGGTCTGATCAATACACTGTTCCTGACACTGTAATTAAGCTACTTTTTTGCTTTCTTTTAGTACTCCCAAACATGCGCCCATGGCCTCTCGTGTCATCCATTCAAGTTTCTTTGAACTCAAAAGCACCCACAATACCTTTCGGGATTGTCGCGTGCACTTCCTCGACAGCCTTTCTCGAAATAGCTGCATATTGTTTAGACTTGCCTACAAGTCGAGCTCAGATTTTTTCACGAGCGCGAAGCGCGAGCGGTAGATTTTTTTACGTTTTCTGCAGCAAAAACGAGCGAAGAAGCGAGAGCTCGTCCTTCGCGCTGGGGCCAACTACCGGAACCGGAAATGAGAAGCGAAGGACTTAAAGAAAGTCTTTATATTGTTCAGTCTTTTGCTAGTAGTGTTTCGGATATTAAACGCGCTATACCCTTCAAGCGATGTACATTCTACACCATATCTAGCTCACTGATCCAGAGTGGAAATACTACTCACCCCTTTAAGTTTCTCACACATGAGATCGAGTACCCACTTAAGAGGGACACTTAAACGTAGAGGCTCAGGAGAACCAACAGTGAAATCTCTTCCAAAGAAACAGTTACAATCCAAAATCTGTAATAACACAAAACAAAAGCGTGAAAACGTTTCGGCGTCATCGTAACGCTTTTATCAATACAACCTAATATAATGGCCTGTTTACATGAAGGTGGGGGACCCCAAGTAGATGAGGTAACTCGCCAGTCCATATAATCTATAACCTGCGAACCGCAGACGTATTTCCGGTCGTCGCTTCTCTCCCTCAGATTTTTCGAAGGGAGAGAAGCGACGACCGGAAATACGTCTGCAGTTCGTTGGCTATATAATCTCTCGTTCAAATTTGAATGCATTTACATGATAGGTGGGGTTACAGCTGGGATTAAGGTTTTGCACAAGTTGCTCGAGTTTTTCCAAAACGTTTCCCGTAATTTCTCAAAAAGTTGCTCAAAAGTTAGGTTATTTTTCGAAGTAATATCAAGGAACGACACTTTTTGGAAAAAGATTGTAGGTGCCAATAAACGAAGACCGCTCAGACGCAAACTTCCAGTCCAAAACAACAACCTGTTAAAGACGTCGAATGGTGAAACTGTATACCCTGTTTAAGACTCAAGACCCTGAAAACCATATCCTCTTCAGCGGTTCAGCGGCACATATCCGTCTAGACCAAATAAGGGAGTGCCAATAGGGACCTTACGAAACTACGGCGGCGACGGCAAAGGGAACGTCAAAGCTGGCAAAAGGGTTAATGGACAAAACAACAACTCGGCACGTGCATCACGCTTTTTTGTACATTTCTTTGCAGTCCCTGCATAACTAAGACGTGCAAAGACCAAATCTTTTCACCAATTGCAATCTTTTCACCAATTGCTTCATCGGGTAACCAGGGACAATAAAATGTGTTACATAATGGGTGATTTCAATTTAGACCTTCTTAACACTGATTTGCATTCAGCTACGAATGAGTTTATTAATGCGTTATTTTTTGAAACGCAGTATCCCGACTTTATTCAGGTTTTGAGGCCACGGCATTTTAGAACCTCCCTCGTAGCTACGCTTAAGTCTCTGCATTAGTAGAACTCGGCTGAAGCCGCAAAAATTTACTTCTCAAAGTTTTACCCACCAGGGTTTATTTTCTCTAGGTAAACTGATCAACACATCATTTGGAGCTGTCATTGGTACCAGTCCTTCCGGCTGGCTTGTTCCTAAGTCATCTACTATTAAGATTTTTGGCTGAAAAAAGAAATGCAAAAGATTAATTAATGAATGAATGATAATTTATGATACTGAGCAGCAGGAGAGAGAAGTAAGAGGGCCATAGCTATGGGTCCTCCCCGACGGTTGAAGGTTGGAAATATAATTGACAGTTAAATTTTGAGCCTTTGACGAATGACGGTTAACCTCCTTAATAGGCCCTTTGCAGCTGGTCATTCACGTGGTACAAAACCGAAATATCATGTTGGAAAGCCCCTGTTTTGAATTACGCAGCACTAAGTAAGAAGTAGCTTCTGCGTATGCAGCTATTTCGAGAAAGGTTGTCTGAAAAAATATACACGTGACAATCCCGAAAGGTAACAGGGGTCTGATCAATACACTGTTCCTGACACTGTAACTACGCTACTTTTTTGCTTTCTTTTAGCACTCGCAAACATGCGTCCATGGCCTCTCGTGTCATCCATTCCAATTTCTTTGAAGAACAGCGAACTCAAAAGCACCCATAATACCTTTCGGGATTGTCGCGTGCACTTCACCCGACAGCCTTTCTCGAAATAGCTGTATATTGTTTAGACTTGCCTACAAGTCGAGCTCAGATTCTTTCACGAGCGCGAAGCGCGGGCGGTAGATTTTTTTATGTTTTCTGCAGCAAAAACGAGCGAAGGAGCGAGAGCTCGTCCTTCGCGCTGGGGCCAACTACCGGAACCGGAAATGAGAAGCGAAGGACTTTAAGAAAGTCTTTATATTGTTCAGTCTTTTGCTAGTAGTGTTTCGGATATTAAACTCGCTATACCCTTCAAGCAATGTACATTCTACACCATATCTAGCTCACTGATCCAGGGTAGAAATACTACTCACCCCTTTAAGTTTCTCACATATGAGATCCAGTACCCACTTAAGAGGGACACTTGAACGTAGAGGCTCAAGAGAACCAACAGTGAAATCTCTTCCAAAGAAACAGTTACGATCCAATATCTGTAATAACACAAAATAAAAGCGTGAAAACGTTTCGGCGTCATCGTAACGCTTTTATCAATACAATCTAATTTAAGGGCCTGTTTACATGAAGGTGGGGGACCCCAAGAAGATGAGGTAACTCACCAGTCCATATAATCTCTAGCCTGCGAACCGCAGACGTATTTCCGGTCGTCGCTTCTCTCCCTCAGATTTTTCGAAGGGAGAGAATCGACGACCGGAAATACGTCTGCCGTTCGTAGGCTATATAATCTCTCGTTTAAATTTGATTGCATTTACATGATAGGTGGGGTTACAGCTGGGGTTAGGCTTTTGCACAAGTTGCTCGAGTTTTTCCAAAACGTTTTCCGTAATTTCTCAAAAATTTGCTCAAAAGTTAGGTTATTTTTCAAAGTAATATCAAGGAATGACACTTTTTGGAAAAAGATTGTAGGTGCCAATAAACGAAGACCGCTCAGACGCAAACTTCCAGTCCAAAACAACACCCTGTTAAAGGCGTCGAATGGTGAAACTGTATACCCTGTTTAAAACTCAAGACCCTGAAACCATATCCTCTTCAGCGGTTCAGCGGTACATATCCGTCTAGACCAAATAAGGGAGTGCCAATAGGGACCTTACGAAACTACGGCGGCGTCGGCAAAGGGAACGTCAAAGCTGGCAATAGGTTTAATGGACAAAACAACAACTCGGCACGTGCATCACGCTTTTTTGTACATTTCTTTGCAGTCCCTGCATAACTAAGACGTGAAATGACCAAATTTTAAGTTTACTTGGGAACGGGAATGGCAAGGCTATAAATTCTACAATCTCTGTCCAGGAATTGGGCGTGGCCCTCTCTCTTCAGCTCCAACCCAAATTCCCTTCTTTTAAGTAACTGAGCCCCTTGGGATAATTGCGAAAAAAACTGAAAGGATGCGAAGTCTACTTTCAGCGACATTTTCATGGATGTCGCCGCTGTGGGATCGAAATATGGCGTCGAAACGTCGACTTTTTACGCTTTTATTAACTGGTCTTTTTTTCTCTTGATCATTGTTGATGAGAAAACACAATAAAAGTTCACAAAGAGTGCCGTAGTTTTATAAATTATTGAATTGACAAAGGTCCCAAAGGTTGGTCAATTTTTAATCGATGTCCGTGATGCAGGATTCCAATTTAGCCCAATTTCTTATTTCGGTTCCTCGTTTTTGGCAGAGAGAAGGAGCCTGGGAACTAGTACCCAAGATAGTCACGTGACTAACATAGCGCGAACTTCGAGCGGGGATAAATGAATATTGTTCTGCGATCTGGCGGCATTAACGGGGAAAAAAAGCTTTCTAACGTACTAAATACTTCTTCGATGCTTACGAAAATTATAGGAAACAACTAACAATGCCTCTACACCTCTCATATTGGAAAAACGCGCGCTGCTGCTGTCCAATCCAACAAAAAAAACGGGAACTGATTCCTGCCTTGGCAAAATTAACAACGGCAACCATTTTAATTAAGGTAAGGGTTAGCTTGTTTTCTTGAAAATAACATAACCTTACCTTTCGAGTGTAGCCCATAAAATACACCATCACAACCCTGTCCTTTTTGTCCTCACTCAGCTTGTTTAAAGATTCCCTCAACTCGTTTTTTATCTCTTTGCCTGTCTTGTTAATAACTTCTGTCGTTGCAATATGACAAAACAAACATTTAAAGAACAATGCAATACCTATAGACTTCAATGAAAGTAGTATAAAACTTGATCAGACAGCAGAACAAAGACAAACGTGTAAAAGAGCAAATTCGAGTAAATGAATTAATGGCGCCATCTTGCCCGCTCGGGATTTCCCGCGTTGGTCCCGTAAGAAAAAGTTCTCTTTTTGTCAATGCAATAAATCCTGTCTTGACTAAGTTTGTTTGGTCAAGAAGGCTACAATGGCCTCGTTCTTTTATGTGCTTTAATTGTCCTTGACTTCATCTCGGTGAATAAATATGCAAAAAGAACTTGGCCAATATCCATGAGCCATTAAGATGGCTTTTTCGGGTGAGTGAAGGCTTTCAGGCGAGTGAAGACAATCGCACTCATCGCTTGCTTTGCGATTGCTTTCACTCGCCCGAAAAACATGAAAAAATAACGCCTGTACTGCAGGCTAACATCCTACAAACAAACTCAGGTATCCTTCAAGAATTATGAGTGAGTTCAAGAATAGAGTTTACAAGATCACTCAGAGGCTTTGCCAACCTCCGGAGATCTAACATCAGGGGACTCTTTATTTTGCACAACACCCCTCCCCCCAATAATTATATGGCTTAATAAAATTTATAAATTTTAGTATACATACCAGTGCATTCCCACTGACCCTTAAGCAAAGCCATCCGTAGCTTTTCACAGTCTTTCAAGCATTGATTGGTGTTGATAAGACCACTGCCACTATACGTGGAGTTTGCAACTATTATGGCATGGCAAGTTACATTGGATTCCAAGTGAAGCCCTTTTGACAAGAGTAACAAAAAAGCTGCTCAAATATGCCATTCCCAAAAACCCATTACCATAATAATACATAAGTGGTTAAGACATGATTTGTCAATCATGGGCAAGAACAGATTGAGATTTGTTTCACAACATTTTCTTAGCAATTTAATCTGTTGTTACAACACACATGTAATACAAAACAACATATAGGTATTTAAGTTTTCAATGTTCTTCACCACATTTTTTTTTACCCAAATTCAGAATAAAATAAAATTATTTTATGTGAGGGAACAAAATATAAGTTCCGTATTGTTACAGTTAAAGCGATTTGTACTTGCACCATCATCATCACTGGAAGTTATTATTGAGAGGGAATATTCCCAAGGGCTGATTTTTGGACTATAGCCTCACAATTATTTTTTAATCACATTTATAAATTTTACAGAGCATTACCATGCATACTACATGCATTTAAGGTAGCCTGAACCCATTTATATGCCCATTGGTTATGTTTTTCAATTGGGTTTTTCGGCAGGAATGATTTAACCAATTTCCATGATTTTTGGCATCCTTAATAAGGAATGGTCGAACTTTAAGAAAAAATTTTCCTGTAGGTATAAAAATGTTTGAGATATCGGCGTAATGTTTAAAACCGCATTTTTACAAAAGATATAATTGCGAAGCTTGCAAAAATTAATATATAAAAAAAAAATATAATTTCGAAACCCTAAGACAGATTTTTCTCTAACTTCGGCAAATAAGCCTCAGAGCTCCCTAGTTTTATATCTACAAGTTTAAAGTCAATCGTGACCCTAGAACCTTGCTGCACAAATAGCTGCTCAAATTTAACCTTAAAATGCAATGCTAACACATTTGTGAAAGTTGATGCATGAATAGAGGGAAACTGCTGACGGCCAACTCCTATCTGCAAGGGTATTCTTACCCAAAGCTTCAGTTGTGAGAAACTGAGTAATCAGAAACCTACGGCGAATACAGTTCGCAATACAAGGAGAACAACTTTATGCTGAATGTGGGGCGAGATTTATTTATTTCTATTTATCAAACTTACTTTGTATTTGTCCCTCTCTTTTTGAAATCTATCTTAACAAAGCAAATTATATTATCTATGAAAAACTCTCAAGAGTTTTTAACGTCGCAGGTTTCCGTTTTGAGGAGAAATAAAGCCACCAACTCCTGTACTTCTAACCGCCCATTTTTTTAGCTGCACTGAAAGCCCTTGTACTTGGTAATTTATTCAAGGTTTTTATGGGAAGTTTGCCAGTTGGAGATAAAGATGAAGAAAATATGACAATCGTCTTATTCTTTTCATTATCCCCAATGGCAAAATGCCCGTGCCAGTGTGATGGCAAATCTTTCAAACTTGAATAAATTACTTAATACCAGGGTTTTTGTTACAGCTGAAAATGGATTGGTTGAAGTACTGGAGTTGGTGGCTTTATATCTCCTCAAGATGGGAACATCCAGTCCTAAAAACTGGTAGGAGATTTTCGTAGATGTTATATTGTGCTTTGTTGAGATTTTTTGTGAAAAGAGAAGGGAAAATGCACAGTAACTTTGATAAATAGAAGTTATTTAATCTTTCCCTGCATTCAGCATAAAGTTGTTCTTCTTGCATTGTGAACTGTATTCGCCGTAGGTTTCTGATTTACTCAGTTTCTTGCACCTAAAGCTTTGGGCAAGACAGTATACCCTTGCAGATAGGGGATAGTCTGTCGGCAGTTGTCCTCTATTTCTGTGTCAACTTTCACAAATGTATTAGTGTTGCATTTTAAGGTTGAATTTGATCAGCTATTTGTGCAGCAAGTTCTACGGTCACGATTGACTTCAAACTTGCAGATATAAAACTAGAGAGCTCTGAGGCTTATTTGCCAAAGTTAGAGAAAAATCTGTCTTAGGGTTTTGATATTATTGACATTTTTTGTAAAAATGCGGTCTTAAACATATGCCGATATCTCAAACGTTTTTATACCTGTAAGAAAATACATAGCATTTTCTCAATGTTTGACCATTCTTTATTAAGGATCCCAGAAATCATGGAGATCGGTTAAAACATTCCTGCCAAAAAACCTGGTTCAAAAGCATAACCAACGCACAAATAAATAGGTTCGGGCCACCTTAATCAAGAACTGGTCTGGCCAGATTGATTAATAGTGAAATTTGCAGTATGAATAGACCTGCCTGCCTGGTCATTTATGACCAATGGTAAGTTCCTTGACTGAACTATAACCAAGGTTAAGCAATTTCTACTTTGGTAGCTGTAGTATTTAAGAAGAAAGGCTGGCACACAATGTTTCATCATGTTGGAAGAATTGTGTATGTAAGGCAGTTCAATACTCTACCACGTTTGCAAAGACAATGGCTCAGCAAAAAGCAGATTAGTGTGTTCTGAAAATGATAAGAAAACCCGGTTGGTACTAACCTTTATTGTTTTCAGTCTTGAGGCGGAGTGGGAAAAGCGAAGGGCTGAGTGAAAACTCGATAGGTACACTGCAGTTTGGATTCTTCTTCATCAACTCATCTCGGACTTTGTCAAACAGATCACATAGCATTATACGATCATCCTCTAGGTTTGCCAACAAACATTTAATGTAATCTCTGATGATTGAAGATATAAATAATTCTGTAGTTAGCAATGCTTCTGGCCTCTTATTCTGACTGAATTGAAAGTATAACCTACATCGTCAACAACAATATTAAGTCCCCAATTTATCATTCAAACAAGACTGACTAATGTTTTATTAATTATTTTTTCAAAAGTTTGTGTAAACTCATGTAGGATTGATTATCAGTAATTAAAATTTACATTAAAAATCTGAGATGTAAGCTTTATAGTCAGGGTTCGTACAGGTCATGGAAAACCTGGAAAGTCATGGAATTTTAAGAATTTCATTTTCAATGCCTGGAAAGTCATGGAATTTCATTTTCGGTCCTTGAAAGTCACGGAAAATTAACGTTTTCACCTTTGTGTGGTAGATTAGTCATACTGCAGATGACGAAGCAAGCCAGGATAACGTAAGATAAAAAGGAGTAATTAAACAGCACGAATGGAAATGCATTTTGGTGGATACCAGAGTTTGTTTCTGTTGAACTGTTTAAGGGCCAAAAATTCGGTAAAACAGGTACAGTTTTCAAAATTTTAGAAATTGACAGCTAAACCTAAGGTCATGGAAAAGTAGAAAAGGTCATGGAAAAAGTCAAGGAAAGTCATGGAATTTGAAGAACTCAAAAAAGTACGAACCCTGATTGTAACAAAGTAAGTAATGGCTAGTAACTGTGGGAGGTTACATTCTTAAATATGGTGTTCTATAGTATTAAATTGTATTTCAGTGACAAAAGTACAATTTATTTAGTGTGAAAATCACACTGGAAATAGTATAGAACAAAGAGCATTTTAAAGCAGCTTGATCTACAATTTTGTGGCCTAAAAAATGCTGCTCAGCTTGCCAAGCTTGTGAGGTCAACTTGTAGCAAGTCTAATGCCCAACATTACAGGGAAGGGAAATAAAAGCCAATTATGCCCCAGCTATTTCTTTGGAGAGGATTTGCAGAGGTATTTCTCCAAGATGAAAATATTTTGATAAGATAAAAAATAATATGGTACTTACAGTCTTTCCTGTTCTGGACGAATTGTTCCTGGATGACAGGGAAACGCAATGACTGCATTTGGTGGAGGAGGAATCGGAGCAAGACCCTTTAAAACACCTTTAAGTTTTATGTCTGTTTGAGCATTTTCAAAAGCACCATCAACTACTACCACTTGCATCTACAAAAAAAAAAAGATGATTATAAAAATGATTAAGAATGAGAATAAATATAATGCATTTCAACCTATTTCAAATTAGAAATCTTATTTCTTGTCTGTTAACTTAATTTGGGATTTCATTTTCAGAGGTTCTGCTGGTAAAGATTGTGTACTGAGCAAGACCTGATCATTTTTTTGTTTGCTTATTGCAAAGAAAGTCCCTACATCAATAACATTAGTCAAAGTTAAAAACATACTACAGTTGAACTGTTTTCTAACAACAACAACAATCTTTTTTTGTACTCACTTTTGCTCAAAAATAAATTATGACAAAGAAAATATTAAAAGTACAACAAACTTCTAAACTGAGATGCAATTAATTAATGCAATATTCTGTATCTTATTAAATGTTCTTTAATTTCTACTTTTGAAAGCCATAAGGTTTGACAGTGATCACAGAATTGTTTCATCTGGTTCCCAGTGAATAATGCATGCCCCCTTCTTGTGTCATTTTAATTTTTTGTCTGGACTTGATGTGTTAAATTCAATTTCAGGTCAGATAATGACAGAGAGACTGTAAAACACAAGATGTTTGAATACAAACATAATTCTCGCTTAGATGTGACACCAGCCAGTTGATGTCCAGGGCATCGCGCATAAGGTCAGCCTGGGAGGAAGGACATTTCAAATCTGTTGGAAGCAGGTAATTCTTTCCATTAATCTACAAACAAGGAAAAAAAACATGATGCAGGTAAAATATATCATTTTATTAATACTGATTGAAAATTAATTGTGGGTTTTATTTCAAATACAAAATAATCACTGCAAGTTTTATAGCCCGCAGAAATCATAATTTAAAAAAGACAAACTTGTACAAAAACAAAGAGAAGCATTTTGAATTCACAATTTCTTGCCAAAGATTGGTTCAAAGGCATAACATTCATTTGATTTCAAAAATTAATAGAGCGTTAGTACTGTAGAAGTCAATCACCGCATAAGCACATTTACTGTGGTACAGGTTTCTTGTACTTGCTCACTATATAATGTTTGCTTGCAAGACTTCATGAAAAATGTTGAGCTTCTAGGCAGAAAAATTATAAAAAGAAACATTAATGCTGACTTACATGCACTGTGGGGCCAGCAAGGTAAATGAAGGATAAAGACTCGTCACTACTGTTTGCATCCAGAAATGAGTGAACAGCCTGAAGCAACTCCGATGCCTTGCATTTGCGGTGGCACTTTACTAAAGTACCAAAATTAAAGTAGTAGAAGGAAAAAAATATCAACAACATAAAATTATTCTTAAACAAGGTAACAGGGTTTACTTTAAGTTACTGGCCTCATACTGGTCCCAGGGGTTATTCTTGAAAATTGCTCCACATGAGAGAGAACTAGCCAAAAAGCACTTGCAGAAACAAACCTCTGGGACCAGGGAAATTGCATTCAGAATCTAACATCTTTAAATGTTATATCATATCTACTTCAGCTGTTATTATACATGTACACTCAATAGTTCATTCATTGGTGAATTGTGTTCATGACAACGTTGCTTTGAATTTATTTCAAGTCTTTCTTCACTAATCAATATCTAAATTATACATGAATACAGGAGCACTTGCATATAATACATATGTATGCATATAAAATGGGTTGGACCCCATGAATAATAGCAGTAACAATAATAATAACAATAATAATAATAATTTAATGACAATAATAATATTAACAACAACAATAATAATGATGATGAGAATAATAATAATAATAATAATAATAATAATAATATTATTATTATTATTATTATTATTATTATTATTATTATTATTATGGCCGGCATTGTGAAAGGTTTGAAACCAGGAGTCATTCCATAAGTAGGTTGAGTATGATCATCGGGGTGAATGTAGTCCTGAATAGGACTGTTGTTGTTGAGAGTGACTGACGTTTTGACAACCCATGTGGTAGTCATCTTCAGAGTCAGTGTGTGTTGTATCACATCAGTTGATGGTATTAAACTCTGGTTATTGACCTGATTTGTCAATTAAGTTGTGATGTTATTGGTCATCCGTTAGTTAAGCCGTGATGTTATTGGCTTTGAAGACTAGCGGCGTGCAAAGAAAGTACTGTCCGATAGCCAGGGGCTAGTGGATTTTGCTGTCGGGTTAGTGAATTCTGTTTTTAACTTGTCCGATGGGCAAGTGAGGTTTTTTTTTTAGGAAATTGTATAACAGAAGAACTGTGAAATCAATTCTGCTAGTCAAAGAGTTTTGGGGCTAGTTGAAATAACGTCTGGGCTAGTAAATGCTAGCTTTAGCTGGCCTGAATGGCAAGCTGTAAAACTGATTTTCTTTGCACCCTGACTAGTAATGTCATTGGTGCATTTCGAGCCTTCCATTGTTTAAGTGTTCCGTCAGTCAGGTGCTAAGGTTTCTGCCAGTTTCACCAATGTAAGTAGCCTGGCAGTTGCAGCATTACCGACATTATTATTATTATTTTATTATTATTGTTATTATTATTTTTATTACTGCTGACTCAGAATATCATGCAACAAAAGACTTACCATCCCAGTTATGATCTTCAAGCACATTTTCCAATTCCTGCAGCTGACTGTTGTGCATTTTATCAGTTTTACTACTACCAAAGCAGTTTAATAGTAGTGCATTCCTTTTAACCTCCTTGTTTCCTGCCAATCAAAACAAATTTATAGACATAAGAATGAATATCTCTGCCTGTAATGCAACTGACTTTAGACAGGTAGTGAAGTGTACAGATTGTATTAAAGTTATGTTTGATTGCCAAAAACAAGATTGTCATTATAAACAAGAATGGCTATTGAATAGTAAGAATGTATTTATTTATGTCCAGCTTACTGGTGAGTTTTTTCAAAGTACATGCTAGTAGTTATGAAAAAAAACCACATTATTTATGCATGTGTGTAGTAAGTTAAGTTTAATGGTGATATCCCATAATATTCACCTCACTCTAGATATATTAAGATATCACCAGTTACAATAAATGTTATCAGATCTTATTTGTTATGTAAGAACTTTACACTCCCACCATTCACCACTTCAGAACACAAGAAGGTTACTGCTGGGTGGGGTAAAGACTTCAGGGACTGTTACTGGGAACAGGGGAAAGAATTGACCAATAGCTGAATGGCATGTCCCCAATACTGATCCCAGAAGCCTCTACTGAGCCCAGTTTCCATCTCATTTCTAAAATGGTGAATTCATGGCCATCCTAGTGAGACACTATTTTGGCAGTAACAATACGGCCATTTATATGAGGAAAAATAAGACGCGACTTACATAAGATGCGAACTATACCATTTATATGAGCATGTCTTAACTAAGACGAAAACAGCTTGTATAAATGGTTTGTGTATTATTTCTGTTCTTGACTTGTTTTCATGTGAATGTTACCAACAGCAATCCAACATGGCGCAACAAAAATTAATGCATGCGTACAATGCATTCGCGTCATATGTAAGATCTGAAGGTCAATTATTGGCTGTTCTAAAATAAGACATCTTAAAAGCTAAGTCGCATCTTATTCTAGATGAAATGTGCCATTTATACGGAAAGTTTGTGTCTTATTTAAGATGTGTCCTATGTAAGACGCGTCTTATAATGGCCCTACTGAGGCTTCTAGTACCACTGGTTCTTAATTTTCATTTTTACTGCTTGAAGAAAGACAAAAAAAAATACTCATGGTTGTCAGGAAATGACCTAGTTCTCAGGAGCACTATGAGTAGATCACCTTTATTACCTGTGCTCTCAAATACATCATCTTCATCATCACCTTGGTAGGGCATCCGAGTAGCTCGTTTAGTCCTACTTCTCAATGCTGGGTCTTCATCACCTTCCACTTGGCTAGGAACACGAGCATCTGGTTTGGTATCCAACAGCACTCTGCTTTTAAGATCATCATCGTCTTCAACCTGACTTGGAACTCGAGCATCTGGTTTTGTATCTGACAGTGCTCTTCTTTTAGGATGGTCATCATATTCAACCTGGCTTGGCAAACGGGCCTCTGGTTTGGAATCTGACTGTGCTGTGTTTTTAGGATCATCATCATGTTCAACCTGGCTTGGCCAACGAGCATCTGGTTTGGAGTCTGACTGGGCTCTGTTTTTAGGATCATCATCATCTTCAACCTGACTTGGAACACGAGCATCTGGTTTTGTATCTGATGCTGTCTTTCCATTAGGACGGTCATCTTCTTCTTGACAGGGAATGCGAGCATCTGGTTTAGCAGCCACTGCTTCCTTGCCTTTGGGATCATCATCATCTTCAATCTGACAAGGACTGCGAGCATCTGGTTTGGTGTCACACCCAGCTTTAGCTTCCTGTGATTCTTGTTCTGAGTATGGTAATGAAGTGGCTTTTGATGCAGAATCTAAGAAAAAATAATGGATTTTTTTCAGTATTAAAAAAATTCATTGGTGTCCATCAATTTTATGAATATTTTTACTTGACTGTATTGTCCGAAACTGCGGCTTCTTTGAGGAGGTTGCCATAATGTGTCCTTGTGATAACTATTAGATTACACACTCTGTGGATTGAAAGCTACTGAGGGAGAAGACACTTGCTCAAAACTTTGTACTTTAACAAATCTGTTTCTTATAGTGAATGTTTTATCAGAACCAATCATCAAGAATCTGGAATCTATANATCTGGTTTTGTATCTGATGCTGTCTTTCCATTAGGACGGTCATCTTCTTCTTGACAGGGAATGCGAGCATCTGGTTTAGCAGCCACTGCTTCCTTGCCTTTGGGATCATCATCATCTTCAATCTGACAAGGACTGCGAGCATCTGGTTTGGTGTCACACCCAGCTTTAGCTTCCTGTGATTCTTGTTCTGAGTATGGTAATGAAGTGGCTTTTGATGCAGAATCTAAGAAAAAATAATGGATTTTTTTCAGTATTAAAAAAATTCATTGGTGTCCATCAATTTTATGAATATTTTTACTTGACTGTATTGTCCGAAACTGCGGCTTCTTTGAGGAGGTTGCCATAATGTGTCCTTGTGATAACTATTAGATTACACACTCTGTGGATTGAAAGCTACTGAGGGAGAAGACACTTGCTCAAAACTTTGTACTTTAACAAATCTGTTTCTTATAGTGAATGTTTTATCAGAACCAATCATCAAGAATCTGGAATCTATATCTGCCTTGATTTTTGCTCAATTCTTGCTAGTATCAAGTCTCAACTTACTTCTAAATGGTACAGTGACATCAGTAAAGTTACAGTGGAACAGTCATCGCTTGTTGCTAGCAAAAATTAATTCCAAATACCAATTCAGTGTAATTAGGTGGTTATTGATGCCACATTTACTCTTTATACGTTGCCTATGCTTCACAGCGTTTTATAACTTACTGTTATAACTAAATAATAGATACACTGCGGAAAAATGTCTAGTAAGACATTTTTATTTTAAATGAAAATGACATTTGCTCTTTTGCATAGCCTTGTAAAATTACAAAAAATATTATATCACTCTACCCTTATAATAACCAATTAATTGCCTACAAACCAACCTGTTTCATGGAGTTCAGAGTTGTCACTCTCAGAAAGGTTTTTTGGAAGATGACAACCCTGTACAATCTCATCTATAACATCCAGTCTCTGTACAGCTTGGTTTCTAAGAAGATCAAGAAGATCTTTGATTGTCTTCTTCAAATGAATCATGTTATCAAAGAGTCCTGCCATTTTCCCCTTTTCTCCTTCCTCCATTTGTCGAACATCATCAACTGACAGATTCATGGCTGCAGCCAGACCTCTCCAGTTATGATCATTATGGTTATTGACGTTCATCATCCGCTCAATCTTTGTGCGTGTTGCAAAAGGAATGTCCTTAACAAGAGAACCTGGATTATATCAAACAAAAAATAATTTACCTGGTGTAGTTTTTACCCCTGGAAAAATAAGTTCTTTTAAATAATCAAAAGCTGAAAGGGGATTTTCAAAATGGTAGTTACCAGTTAGTGCCTAATAAATTTAACTCAGGCATGTTGCATGACATAGGATTCACACAGTTTGGAAAGAGTTTTGTGTGCACAATTCTGTGGATTGCAATGTTGGTCAACAGAAAAGTAAAGAATGATGTTGGCTGTTAATTAATACAGTTTTTGCGTAGCAACCAAAAGCAAATACTGGCTGTATCACCATATGCCGAAGGCAAAGTGGCCAAAAAAAGACAAAACAAAACAAAATTAAAAATCAAAATAAAATGAAACAGGAAAATTAACTTACAGCTTCTGGCCAGGGAATTTTCTCTACAACCAGAAATTACACACATTAAGTAAAAAATTGTCTCTTTGCACTCAGGTGATAAGGTATAGAATCATTTGGTAGGTAAACCTTTTCTTTTCCTTTTTAGTGTGCTATTAAAGGACAAAGGGAGGTCATTCATGTTCCAGTGTATATATAACAGGTGGGCTTACCTTCGGTAATACCTTTATTCTGCTTAAGCAACTGTTTGTTGGTGGCTGATGAATTTTCATGCAATGGATTGATCTCCACATCTGGTTTCTGTCCAGCCTTGAGTGATTGCTGTTCTACGCTATAGTCATATGTTATAAGGCTGCTTCCTGCTGGTGCCGAGTATGGTGGAGGAGGAGAACGGACTGTGAAGTCATTGTTTTCATTGTCATTGGATTGTGGAAAGCTATTCCCTCTTCTCACTGGAAATTAATCAAAATAGTCCGAAATTTTACTTGACAGTTGATGGAGTTATGTGATATGAGGTAGGATGTATTGGCAAGGTATTGCTACACTAGTACTTGTGGTGCACACAAAAAAATGAGCAGAACTGGACATCACTGGGAATTGATTAGAAATATGTGTCTTGCAAAATCTTGTGAATTTCCAAGGAATGAATGGGAGTCCAGCTGTGACTATCATTTTAGAAAATGGGTTGGTAACATATTAAAAATACTTTTTTGTTGTGGTGGTTTAATTGTGAACCAATGATAAAATAGAATCATAAATATATTGTCATACATATTACCAAACCCAAGAGAGTGGCAGATCTCGGATAGGGGACCGGCTGGGACCCCACCTTATTTTTAGGCAAAATTAAAGCCCTCAGGGGTCACAAGATAATATTTCCAAGGCCCCTTCAATCTTACGATCTGGATGAGCAAGCCCCCCGCTCCCTCTCCCACTTAGGCGAATTTACACCCTTTCTGTACAAATCGCCCGGCCCTTTGTTCGTTATTAAAAAGCAATGACAAATAACCGATTTGCCTAGGGAATCATTCTGTTTTTTCTTTTCCTTGGAAATGCTAAATTTATTTCTTTTGTCCAAAACAGTGTATACGTAACTTTGACAATTTCCGTGTTTAGCGTGGGTGTCGTGTAAAGGTGTAATTATTTTAACCTTACTTGAGATAAACACTTAGCGTGACTATTGGAGTAGCTTGTAATTACTCACCTGCTTTTCCTCGTAGATTCCTTTCTTCTTCCTCCAATTCCTCTGCCAATTCTTCATTTTTTTCCTCTCGCAAAGCGTATAAAAACAGCAAAAATGCTTTCGCTCCTCTCTTCTCTAGTATACTAAGCAAGGTTTGTGTTCCGGCGGTAGGTCCCCGATTCGAAGTTTTCGCCTCGATTTCCTCTGTGTCAGCAGGGCTAAATATCGTCTTAAGATGAGCGACTAAAATTCCTGGATTTGAAACCCTTTTCATTATGTCAGAAGTCTTGTTTGCAAGAACTTTTTTGTGAATAGGATCCATAGTAATTTAATTGAGGAGAATCGCTGCCAATTTTGTAACTCTTCAGTTCGCTCAAAACTATTCGATCTCTCTTCTGCGAGGTCAGAGAAAGTGTAACAAGTTCATCGCCCACGCGTTGGTAGAAATAAGTGTATCCGAAACCCGTCAAAATCCAAAAATACGACCAGGGATTCTCCCTTCCAGGGAAGTTGAGCATTTCCGGTCCCTTTCCTGGAAACGCGGGAAATCTGACGAAGATTTGTTGTTTTGTTGCTTGGTTTTTGATTGGTTCATCATCACGCCCGAGCGACTTCGCGAAATGTCCGTGCAGGTTTCGCTTTCCGGATTCTTTTTTCACTCGGTCTAGACCTCTCTCGTCTTTTCCCCTTAACTTTCGTTTGGAAACGAGGTAAAAGCAAATCGTCGTGTGAAATATAAGCTGATCCCTGTTTTAGGAGGGATTTCGCGGTTTTCTACTTCTACAATTGCGGAAATTTTACGCTTAGAGGCCCTTGCATCTATAAAACTTTCATCAAAGCTAATGAGTGGGTACATTGACGTATTTACTTTACCGTTTCACTCTACATGGTTTTGAAAGCTTCGTGAACATGGCCCCGTTTCCTTGGTTGTGGAATGTTTAAAATTGTAACGCGTTGAATGGTTTTATTTTCGTTTTGTGGAAAGTTAAGTGAATTTCTCCATTGCAAGATTTTCAGCTGCGTTGCTCGAGTTGCGTGAAAACTGCTTTCGTCGACATGGTGGCCTCGTACTCAATGAACAACGTCTACGAGACGTGATCAAAGGTATTCTTAGAGGCCCTGAATGAACTGATGAAGGGTCGATAAAGTTGCCCTCAAGTGGAAGAAATTAACCCTTGGCTTGAAAATGGCTAATGGAACCGTTGAAGCACTATATCCTTATTCGTACGAAGCAGGCGACGGGAGAGTCATCTCTTTCTCGGCCGGAGATAGGTTTACGTTACTAAACAAGACAAACGGAGATTGGTGGCAAGTTAGAAAGGGAAGTGAAAAACCCATGTACGTTCCTGCCACTTATATGAAAGAAATAACTATTCCTATTTACGAAAATATCGAATTTAAAATTACTTGCCCTCAGAATGGCGAGGCTGTCGCGAGGACAGAAAATGGGCAAAGCTCTGAACGCGGAGATTACAAAAATGAATCAAATGGAGAGACAGCAATCCACCAAGACAATGAACTTGAAAATCACAACAGAAGCGTAAACATAGGCACTGAAAATAACGGCGAAGACACCTGCTATATTTTAGATGATACATGCCCTGTTTCAGACGATTCCAATGGTGTTGGAAGCGTTCTGTCAAATGCAAAATTTTTAGCGAGGTCTCTAGAGAAGGTAAGACTATTTTAAGGTGATTTATTTTGTGATTTGGCTTGTTTGCATCTGGCGTAGACGTTGCAATTAATATTCTGTGTTGGTATTGTGTTCGTATAAAAGTAGCTTTTGTTACCCTGTTGATAAATCAACAGAATTTGATACCTAGTACAAAAGGTTTATGTTCAGATGCGGGTTGCTGTTAATTCGATGTAGGACACGATGGCTGTTACATGTACATGAACGTTGGGGTTAATTGTTGTTTTGTTTTGTTTAAGTAGTCTACTGTGGATATAAAAGCCAAGAAAATGTCGTACAAAATTAGTCCTTATGTTTTAACGTTCGTTTAAAAAAACAGCAAAACAAAACAAAATGTTATTGAACAAATCAATTCTTTGTGTACTGTAAACAGTTGTTTCTCTTTGTTGTAAATTAAGGAGATGTCTTTCAATTTTGTTATATCTTTGCGGGCTTCAGCCACCATGATGAGGAGGTTGTTGATCTGGCGAATATGTTTTAGAATCTTGATCAAAAATAGAATTGTCCTCCATAATTCTTTAGTATTTTTTTAATAAACCAGATCCTTACTTCTTAGTTTTACAGCGATACAGTATTGTTTTGCTCTCTTTTGTTGTGAACATAATGCAGATGTCAGTTTTGTGTCCCAAGCATTAGATCAAATGTTACAAACAGTTAACTTGAACTTTGAAAAACTGTTGTGCTTACAATTTTTCATAAACATTGCAATCCATTTGAATCTTTTTTACGTTTGTACATCTGTGTTTCCTTTTACATTTGCTGTATTTTCTAATCCTTCTTTTTATGTTTTCAGCGATTTTTTTGTAGTGACAGTTTCCACTGTAGGATTTTTGATAAATTTCTTGACACAGCTCCTGTTAAATATGTTATTATTATTACTATTGTTAATTTCTATTATTTCACCTTTGATATTACTGTCATTTTAGGCTGAGCAAATAACTGTGAGCAAATAACGTAATAGAGTTAAGAATCACACCTGGCCAGAGCCAAGCTAGCACTAGTCTGCTATTAAGTTTACACAGAAACTCATAAGGGGTTGAAACATGTAACTCTCATATGTTTGCTTTGTCTGATGCTCGTGATTATTCATTTTAGAAAGTACCATATTTGGAACGAGAAGAAGAGATAACTGACCAATCAAACTTCTTAAACAACGTGACGTAATTTTCCTTCAGGTTCCCGTACCCGCTTAAAAAAATGGCCGACAAACGGGGGGGAAAACTCCCAAAAGCCGAGAAAGCTTTCAAAGGTTGAAACCAGGAATATTACTGAAACACTGAACAGGATTTTATTGCCTTACCACCTGGGCCAAATGTAACATTATGAAACCCATGGACGGCCTCACAACTTCTTGAAGTTGTCACTTCAAAAAACAATGCCTTGTTGACCCTCTGCACAGTAAACTTATACTGCAAATAGGCTTTTAAAATTCTTATGTTAAAAGTCTAGAATAAACAGTTAAAAATATTTTCGAATAAAATTCATTAGCTGCGTATCGAAAGTGTCCAAAACCTGAACCTGACATCTTCGCAAAAAGTGATGCTTGTAATGAATGTGAGAAGCATTTTAAAAGCTTAAATTAAACTTAGATGTTGTAGTCATGATCGTGTTTTGAGCTAATTTTATGAATGTACAAACTCAAAACAATAGACAGAGAAGCCGTTTCTTGAAAATTTTTTTCAAAGTTCAAAAAGTTAATCCTTTGAGGCAATTCGGAAAACACTATCTGGATCGTGGATCCGTTCATGCAAGTGACACATGGCAAAATTCAATGCAAAATCCATCTCAAATCAGGGCACATTTTGTAATTTTTCTTTAGCGCCGAAGAGAAAAATTTATTAACACATTGTCTCCGGCAAGGATTTTAGTAAATTGACCATGTAACTTTAAAAAATCATATCTCAGCTGTTATTTCCAGTACCTTATAAAGCTATACCTCATTGGAAAGGGCAAAAATTAAACTTTCAGAAAAAAAATATTTCGGTCTCAGGAAACCCATAATATTCTGCAAAAAAAATTATAAACAAGCATATTTCTGTATAATTATTTTAAAAAATTTTTACGAGTGTAATTTTGCCAGGAAAGTTGTCTGTTTTGTGTAATACAGTACACACAATTTTTTTTCTTCAATATCTAAGCAAACAGCCTGAATATCGGTCGAAAATATAGAGCGACTAACAGTTTTCTACAAATTTATTTTGTGACCGTATCGGATTATGCAAATGAGGTCAGAGCTAATTAGCATAGCGAAACTAGATACTTTAGCGTCACTTTGTGGCCCGATATTTACCTTCAAAAGACGCTTTATTTTTTAGTTTCTCAGCGAAATATCGAGTTAAAAACAGGCAAACATGAATTCACTGATATAAGTGATCAAAATAAGCAAGGCTTTGAAGGCAAAAAGCTCAGCGGGACGGAACTCACTGCGTTTGAAGAGAATTTGTGCCAGACATTGCCGACTCGGGGAATTGAAGGCAAAGATTCTTACTGTTTTCTTTCCTCGATTTTCGCGTTTGTTTTGCTTGTTATCCTCCAAAATCCTTCAAAACAATCTGCTTGACTTGCATTTGATTGAAATTTGTCGATATAAGCTTTCATTCTACGCAAAAACATCCCAAATACTTCTCACTACGCACCGCCATTTTTCTACATTTTTGAAAAATCGTTGCGTGAAGCTCAAAACTCGCAGGGGGCTGGAACTAGGCACATAATTAGCTAAAGCTATTAACTTCCTGTGGGCCAAATTTGGAGGTAAGCGGAAGTAACGCGATTTTTTGCGATTTTTTTTTTCGTAGTCGATGTCGTGACATCGACGGCCCTAGTCGCCGGAGACAATGAGTTAAAGTCTATGAAACATTTAAAAATACATAAATTCCCTTTCAAAAATGTGATTGTCTTGGCCATAGAGTGCAAAATGTACCTGAAAATTCAGCAAAATCTTCGCTGACTTGGTTGCATTTCAAAACAGACCATGGGCTCCGCTGTGAGGAAAACAAGGCTGAATTCCTTGAAGGACGATTTCTTGATGAAAAGCTTCCCTTTCTCCACAAAAAGAAAGCTGAGCATTCTTTTGAACTTTCTCTTTCCATTTTTTGTCTTTTAACGGTGTATTTTTAACCTTGAAATGCAGAACTCTTGTCTTAAAACATCTGCATGGTGATCGCTCAGCAGCCATCTTGTTGAAAATGGATATCCGTCACTAAGATTTCCAAATATGGTCAAAATGAATATTCACAAGCATTGAACGCGAGTTACACTTTTCAACCCCTTATGGATTTCTGGTTTACAAGTGTGGTACAGGATTGACATCAGTGCTGAACAGAAAAGTACAAAATTTAGTATGGTTCAGAATGATTGGTTTGAATGTAATACCTCATTGGTAGTTAATTTCAGGTTTTTCGCAATTAGGGAAAAATTGTGAAATTTAAGACCCACGAATAAAAAGTCCTGCAAAATTAAACATGTAAAATTTATTACCCATATAAAAAATTCAAATTACAGGAAAAAAGTGAATAACATTTAATAACTACAGCATACACATACAGGTTATACGTGTTAATATGGGTTTTTCTTGTTTTATTTTAACTCGATATTTTAAAAAGTTCAGAAAATGGAAAAATAAAATCAAGTTGAGAACACTTGAATCACGAAATTTAATGCCCTTTTTCATATTTGCTTATTGAAATCGCAAAAATAAAACCCTGCGAAATACTATCTTGCCAAAATCGCGAAGTTAAGTTCCCGGGAAATTAAGTGCCAATAAGACTGCTAATGCAATCGTTAGGACGCACTGGTGGCCAATCTAGATATTTGGCAGGATTGTCCTTGGGTTATCATTTGTTGAGTGATTCAATATAGATACTATGATATAATGTGATGGTAGTCTCATTCAAAGAAAAAAAAATTAAATTCCAAGTAGCAGACAGTTGTGTCGGAGCTGTGGAAATGATCACAAGCGATATTATTAACATCTTGTAACTTTGAATATCTTTGTGTAGAGTGGTGCCCGTCCAGGTGGCAGCTTCTCAATGACTAAACCTGAACGCCCCAAGTCATTGTCACTCCCTCCTGGTTGGGTTGTAGTTACTGACGAGGCAAGTGGTCGGCCCTGTTATATGAACTCCAAAACAAATGAAACAAGTTGGAAACCACCAAGAATATCACGTGCTAAAACTCCACCACCTAGCCCTGGGGTAAGGATACTTAACAGTTAATGAATGAGTCTGAGTATCTTATGAAGAATTATGGCGATCGAGGAGGTTGTTATCCGTTGAGGCCGTAGGCCGAGGCAGATAACACTCTCCGAGATCTCCATAATTCTTCATATCATACAAAAGCCGAATTCAATAACTGTTTTATTATTCATTCAAAATAATTCCTAGTTTAAAAACATAGCTAAAACATGCTTACCTCCATCGATCCATAGATGTTAAGTTCACGTTTAGGTTTGTCCACCTCCGCAAATATTCTCCAAATAGCAGCTGTCGCCCTTCGAGTTGTCTTCTTGCTGTTCTTGCCATGTTTTTAGCTATTTTTTCGCCTAGTTCTTACTCTTGAAACGAGTGAAATGTTTGCCATTTTTTCAAGTTCACAACCAAAACAACTCAACCTCGTCCTTAGGTCTTCTCGGTTAACAGTGCCTTAACCTGCGAAAACGCTGCATTTTTGAAGTCATTTCCTCGTTAAAGTCAAAATTCTTCCAAATTTGGTCATCAGTAACTGGTTATGGTGAATTAAATGGTGCTTTTATCCAATCAGAATCGGGGATATATTGATTGATTAACCCATTCGCTCCTGGAGATTTTGCCGAAAAACGCGTTTTGAAGCTAGTCGAGTGGTTTTCTGGTCACTGTCATGCTATAAAGCGCTAAAACTTACCACAAACCGGTTTACAGGTCGTACACTTCGCGGCCTTCTGATCCAGATGCAAAATATCAGCTTGCGAAGTTCGGGCATGCGCAGAAAGCAAAATTTCGAGATAGTTTTTGAGTTTAAAAGTGACACAGCAGTCTTGACTTTTACTTTTCGCTTTCTCTCCTCCCTTCTTTTTTCGCTTTTCTTGCCTCCTTTTTTTTTCTCTTGCTGGGCATTTAGTAGGCTTCGTTTTGGTGGGTATAGTTTTTAGGAAAGCTTTTAGGATCTTAGGATTAGGTGAAAGGAAAGGTAGGTGGGCAATGGAACAAGATTTTCATGGAGATTTTCACACAGGAAAAAATAACGGATTCCCATTTTTGGGTATTTAAAGAATACCCACAAAAATCCCAAATTTGGAAGAGTGAGACAAGTCCCAATCTGGGAACTTGGTTGGGAATTCCCTGGTTGGGACTTGTCTCACTTTGCCAAATTTGGGATTTTTATGGGTATTCTTTAAATACCCAAAAATATCCAAAAATGGGAATCCGTTATTTTTTCCTGTGTCAGGTCCATGTCACGTGGTTTTTTGTTTCTTTCTCCGGTGTCCTTCACTGAATTGTGCTCATTCTGGTATGGTTTGAAAGATCTCTTCACTCTGCACAAGTTAGCGAAGAAAGTTGTCCTTGACCGTTTAAACTGATGACGTCACAAAGGGTAGAAAGGACCTGGATCCGCAGGGGCGGTTACGGGCGGTTCAGGGGCAAATGGGTTAAATTACGTGCATAAAAATCAATGAGTGTATTGTCTATGTTTTTCTTTACCTATCAACAGGTTTGTTGTAATTATTTGTTTTTTAGTGCAATCTTTGTTATGAAAGGTGCAGCTGTTTATTATTTTTCATGTTTAAAGAGTGCATGGTCACATAGATCATGGTTTATTATGTAGAGGATGAGGTTGTGACTAATTTACTTAATGGTAACTAGTGGCCTGTGTTTTTTCTTTCTGTTTGGATGGAAAATTAAAGTTCAAAACCCAAAGAAGTAGTTAGCACTAGAGTCATTGTTTGATTAATTTCACTTGTTTGAGTGAAAACATTGGCAATGGAAAAATGCTTTGATAGGATGGTTCAGTTCATGGAAAAACAGTAATCTTGTTTTTCTGCTATAAATGATCCTAATGTACAGTGCAATGTATATTCTTGAACTATATATGTATGTTAATGTTTCGTTTTATGATGTTAATTTTGTAGTGGCAGACACCTCCCTTAGGATGGCGGATATCACGTAGTAGTTCTACTGATGAACTGGTTTATGTCAATGAATACAATGATGAAGAAGTAAGTATCTTAGTAATAGAGTGATATTCTTTAAAAAGGTACCTTTAGGCCTTGGTAGTGGTGGTGCAACAGCATGCTCAAGGATCTGAGCTGAGTTCAGTGATTTCAGTGTGCTTGGTACTGGAACCTGGGTTGAGCTCTAGGTAGCCTGTAAGCAAGTTCTCCAGGGCACTGTGGAGCAGGGCAGGGAAAGGAAGGAGAGTTTTCAACTGTGCCTCTGGAATTTGAATTCTGCCTCCAATTCCCCTGTGGCTCGTCCTCGACTGAGCTGTTAGATTTCTGCAAATCAGCAGGAGGCAGAAATGAGTGCGAATGCAAACAAACATCGACGCGACACGTGCTAAGGGTTATGAAGGCATTACTACACTGTAATGTCATCTCCACCAATCAGCATTTCACATTGGCTTTTTTGATACAGATATTCAAATTTTAGAGGCGTAGTTGCAACCTCTCCTTCCTTTTCGTGCCCGCCACCAGAGCACCCCAGACTGCTTGCTCACAAGCTAAGCTCTAGAGTACAATACTATTGTGGAAAGAGTGAATGAATGTAATACACTGTGAGGTAGAACCCTAACGTATGTTAACAATAATATTGTTTAATACCCAAACTAATTATTTTAAATTACTTAGCTTCCAAGGAAGAAAAAGTTTCAGTTTTGTTTTGTTTTGCAAGTCTGATAATAACGTTTAAGGACCTTTGGATACTGACTGCAATGTGGCTGTGTATTTTATTATGCTGGTACAGTATTCCACAGTGTAACTTGCATCTGTCTTTTAGTGGGTGCCTTCAAAAGACAGTGAAGGGCGAGTCTATTACTACAAACTAAATGGGGAAGATTCTCGTTGGGAACTACCTGAGGTAAGATAACATACAGTTTTAATAACAGTTTAACTGATGCTCAACAAAAGCTCAACTGTTGACTACAGTATAGTTGTATTTTTTTTGTCTATTTACATGACTAGGTTATTTTTGACAGTCAAGTGTGCATTTGTTGCAGCCATGTTCTATAAGAATGACTGTGTTTTAGGCATGTTCTGACGTAAGATTTTTCTATTACACTGCTGCCTCTTTGTAAGCAAAAGAAAAGAATATCCAACGTAGCCCCAAATAAAGTTTACACAGGAGCAATAAAATCTGGACATTGTGTAACAAACATATTGGAATCTTTCACCTTAATAAAATTTGCACTCTTGATTTTTTCTGATAGTAATTTATGCCATATGCAATATGCAAATCAGTTGTATTCTAATCTTGCTATTGCCATCTGTTTATGTCCAGAAAGTCCTGTATAAATAATTATGTCAACTATGTATCAGTTTTGTTGGCTGATCCACTTTTTACAGGAACTTAACTGTGTGCTGTTTGCATTGCACAGTACTGGTTCTATTCTTTGTTATTTGCCTTTGGTATCTATAGTTTAAGCTACTCTATGGTTAAAGTAAATTATTGTAGCTCTTTTTATCAGTCTGTGATATATATTCTTTGACTGTTGTATAGTATATGCTAGCCTGTTAAATTTAATTAACAATCAGCACTCGTGGTGTAAATGCTTCCACTGCAGGTTGAGCCTGCAACACAGCAGTCTTTTGAAGCTCTGGATGTCACCTATAGAAGGCGCTCACCAAATCTCAGTCTTAGAAACTCCAGGTGCTTGTCTTTGCAGACGCGAAGTCCTCGCAACTCTCAAACCAATATTACTGCCCCCTTTTCTGCAGCTGCTCATGGCTATCCCCCACCCCCCACGGTGAGTCTAACTCTTGGTTAGCTTCATACGTCATGCTATTGCTGCAGACCTCTTGCACAGTCCTGCTTTGTGTCTGACATGTACTTGCACTTTGCACTTGGGAAATGCATGTTTGCTCACCTGTAATAATTTTTGCTTTATCTTCCTCTTATTCCGATAATACGCTTTCATTTGCTTCTTCGTGGTTGTTCTAACCTTTGTGTTGAACAATGCTCATCCATACATTCGTGGTGTAAGTTAAAGTTATTGTATACATTGTTTACTGATTTACGTTGGAATTGTCCTCTGGGTTTTAAAAAATCCTTTATTGTTCTTAAAGGCCTGTCAGGTAACATTGTGTTGCAAGATGGCAGAAAGAAGAAACTTAGGAATTTATTATGATAAAGTGGTCCTAGAGATGTTGTTTTATAGACCTGAAATTTGAAACCCAGTTTTTCCTTTCTGCAGGACTATGAAGTCTTGTCTATCTATTTATGTACTGAATTAAATTCCCCTACTAGTCATTTCTGTATATTTACTTTGCACAATTAATTATTTATGTGTAATAAAGTTTTTTAAACATGATTTGATTTCTAAACCCACTTCTCACTGGATGGATTCCTTATGTGTTTTGTACAGTAGCAAGTGGTGGAAATTACAAAGAGCCCATGCAGTGCAAAAGGGCACAAGTAACGATTTTGGTGTTTTCTAGATTAGAAAACAGATAACAATACCGAAAGTGGAGGTGGCTAGTGGTGGATAATTTCCCCATGTCATGAAGCAGCAAACTAAATAACTACCCCTAGCCACTGACACTGAGGTCAATAATATTGTTTTTAGTATATACTAAAACAGTGAGTCAGGTAATTGAGCCTAAAATGATGATTTTTATCTCATTGATTGCCACCAACAATTACAGTTTTGGCGTGCGTGTGACCAAGCGGCCATCACGTTTTCTTGCCGATGAATATAAAAACTTTTGAAGGTGGAGACATTTCTTTAAAAAGAGTTGTAAATTCTTTCTGTAAAAAAAAAACACAGTTGATTTAGTTATTTATGAACTTGTCAGCTTATAAAAGTAATGCAAGACTCAATTTGCATTTGTGAACAAGAAACTTTCACAATAAATTCAGGTTAAACAGACAAAGCTTTACCTGTAAAAACTGCCAAACTGAATTTCCCCGCCTTCTTTCTGTTTTTCGGGAACAGCTTCTTTGTTTATTTGTGAACAAACCTGGGGGGCCAGTTGCTCATAACTTATGGAAGTTTGGCATTGCTTGGAGCCTGGAGATGAATCAGTGAATAGCACTGGATATCTTGAGTTTCAGTAGTCAAATATCGGAGCACGTGAAAGACACTATCCACTGTTTTAGCATATACTAAGGCAAAATACCTCTGTGTCAATGCTTCAGGAACCTTCCACAACAGAGTTTGATAACTTAACTTCCTGTGTGACATGGAGCGTGTTATATGTACTGTACACATTAGTGGAAGTTTGAAACCTTTGTAACCTTACTTTCTTGAAAGTGAGGATTAAAATTCATTTGATGAAAGGAGCAGGAATGAGCTTTGCTGATAGGTAAAAACAGACATGGTGTTTCAAGGGTGCAACAGAAGTGCTATCCAATAGCCAGAGGCTAGTAGTATGTTGTATGACATGTTTTTAGCACAAGTTGCCTGAATAGCATGCACATTTGCCAAGAAATAGTAGTTATTACTTGAAAGGGGGATTGGTAGGCGAGCTACACAACTACTATGGACTAGTTAACTTCAGTAACACCTTGCCCAAAGATGTGGTATGATAAGGATTACTTTGTATTACAAAGTTTATTGTTAAGTCCTGTGTAGTTGTGCTAGGTTCTCCCTTATTAAACCAATGTTATTTGTTTGTTACTGTAGTTTCATGAGAGGTCGGCATCAGTTCAGTCTAGAGAAAGTGTCTCCTCAGGTGGTGAGGACTCAAATTGGCCTGCACCACCAACGCCAACTATAGATACATCTATTAATTTTGTGAGTACTTACAAGTCATTTAATGGGAAGGACTGCTTTATTGTGTTTAATTTGAATGGTTTTACTCTTTAACAAGCTATCCAAAACAAATTAACTTGATCAAATGAGCCAACTGTTATGATGTTAATTTTATTTGGCACATGTATACTGTCAGCATTTATGCATTGAGCGATATTTGATACTGGTAAAATCCAACTAGTGGTCTATTATCATTGCTGCATTCTGATTGGTTGTGCTACTACTAGGCTATATTTAACAGCCCACTAGTAGCGAAAAGTGCCGGCTTTTTGGTGGCAAAAACGGGTTAAAGTCTAGCTTTAACCAGCTAAAAGTGTTTTGTCTCCATATTTTTGACCAACTGGTCAACTGGCCTTCGGCCTCATGGGCTATTGACTCAGAACCCATTCGGGCTTGAGGAATAATTGTTAAATAGTCACTGAGTATGGTACCCATTAAACAGAAATGTTTTACTTTTTCATGCTTCTTCAAAGTGATAAAATATTAACGGCTGAATTTTGAAGTGCTGCTGTCTTGTTTTTCCAGTTTCAGGAGGTAGAAAAACAGGGAGTGTTAAATCGAAAGAAACTGCTTGAAGGAGGTGGAAAGAAAGTAAAGTAAGTGAGGTTTATGATCAAAGTGCGGTTGGTAGGGAATGCCAGCTTAAGTCTTATTTGAGTGTTATACTCACAATTACAGAGTTAATTGAATGATAGTTTACCAATTTTTTCTTGTCCTCAATTTTGCAGGAAAATGTCCTGGACTCCTACCTTTGTTATCCTGTTCTCATCTAATCTGGTGTTTTATAAGGACCAAAAAGCAGCTGCCCAGGTAGGATGATAGACATACTGCTTAAAAACTTGGTGGCACTTTTGTTAATGTTTGTTTGAAATTACAAGGTTTGTCCTCAGTTTTTGCAAGATAAGGCCTTAAGGTTGCAGGCATTTTCCTGGATAACAATAATTCTAACATTTTTCAGCCAAAAGAAATGATTGGAGTTCACACACAGGAACATCACAATAATATCGCTTCCAACTGACATTTTTAGCACATAGACATTTCCATTAGCATGTTAGTGATGTACCCAGGATTCAACATAATAGTCATGAGAATAAATAGCAGGGTTGTCACTAAGATTTCAAGTTGCCGGGTAAATACAACAAGTAGGTGGGGAATCAAACGGCTAGGGGTTTCTTTTGGTTCTATTTTTCTTCTATTTTCCAATAAAAGTAGCCGGGGGCCACTGTCTTAGTAGCCGGGGAAAAAAAACCCAGCCCACAGCTCTTAATGACAACCCTGAAATTGTGCTCTGTTTTGTCTCTAAGAAACCTGGCCTTCCCCATGGTAAACCAGAAAGTACCTGTGTTTTACAAGGTGCATCATTAGAATGGGCTCCAACTACAACAACCAAGAAGAAAAATGCTTTCCAGGTACATACACATTAATTAATTTTACAAACAGTTAAAATAATTATACAATAAAGAAGCTGTTTTGGTCCCACTCTCGCATTATTGTTGGGTTTGGGTTCAGTGCACTAACTTTCTGGTAAGAAACAATAACGCGCTTACAGCAGCATTCAGTCTCGCCTTCTTGGAGATTAGATCGAGAAATGAGGAGGCGATTAATTCTACCAGAAACAGGATTTACTCTCTAAAGGTTTTTTACTTCCTACTTTATCGATATCGATACTTTTTGTTTGTTTCTTAATTGATTTAGTACGCGTGTTAGCTATGACCCAAAATACATCAGCTGTCGCAGGCTATACGGGTGTATAAATACATGAAAATTCAAGGGCCTCGATTCCAGAGAAATTACATCATTGCCAGAGATCAAAAAAGTGATTTACATGGCAGGTCATTTCAATCATCACCGAAAATAAATCACATGCTCATCACAAGACCATTTGCAAACAATGAAAGTTTACAACACCTGACAAGCAGTTTTGCTAATTAAGATTCTTATTTTTATTCGACCACTCAGTAGTGTTCACTTATTCCAAAGTAATCAACGCTTTCAAGAGATAGAATTCGTGGACCAACATGTTTCGGAAAAGTTCCAAATTTTACTCTATTTCCTAAGCTTTCTTCGCAAAACATGTTTGGCTTCAATCACAAAATGATTCTTAGTTCCAGTTTCCATGGTCTCCACAAGGAATGCCTGGCACAATGACCCCCCATTTGTGTATATAGTACAATGAAAAACCCCATGGGGTACTTCCAGAAAAATTGGGTGGGGTGTGCGGCACACTTCCTGAAACTCTTACCCTACTTCAGACCAAAATCTGTGATTTTCTCCACCCTATTTCAGACGTGAAGCCCTGTAGCCTGGCGCATGAGCGGAGCTCATGACAAGCTGTTAGGGCATGTACACGGTTGGCGTAAACATTAAAAGAGAAATGGTCTTATTGCCAAAACTTCAGACCAAAACAGCTAAAAAACCATACCCTTTGCTGCCACACAAACCTATATAGCGTATATAAGAGACCTCCCCCCCCAGGGCAAAAAACGCATTGCAGATTATGAGTCTCGCTGCTATTACGCAAGTGAGGCTAATAATTTGCGTACAGGGTAGCCTGATGACACCTTTTGTTTTCCTTTTGTCTCTTGGTCAGGCATCACTGTCTTGTTCTGGAGAACAAAAGGGAGTGTGGCTATTACTAAAAGGAGAGCAGAGGCCTGCAGCGGAGGCCATGTCTGAAGAATGACTGTAGAATTTTCCATGCTGATGACTTGTCACTACCCAGTTCTGGGTAATGCTTCTTATTGGTTGTGCTGGGGGGAAATTTGTTTCAACCAGTCAGAAGCATTACCCATATATGGGGAGTGACAGACACTGTCATAAGTATAGAATTTCTGTGCTTGTTCCTCAGACGTCAGCATACCTGCCAACTCTCCCGGTTTTCCTGGGATTCTCCAAGTTTTTCATAAAATCTCCCGGTTTCCTGATTAGAGCACCAAAACTCCTGGGAAATAACTACCGCGGCCTTTCTCAAAATTATTCCTTGAATTTCATTATTTTCAAGATGTCAAAAAGGAAAATAAAACAGGAAGTGGATTTAGTGCACTTCTATTGGAAAACTTAAAACAGAGCAATCAAGTTGACAAACTATATATTTAACGAGTGATTGTCGTAATTGGTCAGAAATCAACCAATCAGATTGAACAATACATGGTAGAAAGTTGGCGCTGTTTTTTTGCGTGCTGTTCTTGACGTCGGGAACATTTGGAAGGCCTTCAGGTGATTTTTGAAGATTATTGAGACATTGTCGAAAATGATATTCATACAATGCAAAGATTTCAAGATGTCTCCAGGTTTTTGTACCCTGGGGGTTGGCAGGTATGTGTCAGGAAAACCAGCAGTGGCCTTGCAAAATTTGGGCTGTTTTCTTAAGCCACAATATTTGCACAAACTTTCAGTAAATAATATTTTGGCTGAAACCACAGGCATTACAACTCCGTGCATTCAAACAGCTTCAAGTAAAGGGGGTAATTTTGGTCAGTGTTTCTGGAAGGCATAACAAAAGACTGCAAACAATATATTATTAGTGTCATTACATAAGCAAAATGTGGAGGAGTTTACTTCAATTTCTTTCTGGTTACTGTTATGTGAGATCTTGGCTGGAACTTGCTGCTTTGTTTCTGACATCAGAAGAAATTATTGTGTCAAATTATGCAGTTTTTATCTGTAGTATCAAGAAGAAGACCTTTTTAGCGTCCAAAGTTAAATGGGACTACACTGTTTGTATGTTGTTTCTGAACTGCTATATCAACCTCTTAATTTTTTTAAATTTCTTGTTTAAATAGTAAACACATAAGTACACTGTAGATTCCACCTATCTGGAGCAGTTGTTAACAGTACTCTTTTTTGTTTGCTTGTAGATTCGAGCAGTCTCTGGACTTGTGTTTCTTCTTCAACATGATCATCAGATGGAAGCTAGCAACTGGTTTAATGCTGTAGCTGGTGTTATTAAGAGACTGGTAAGTTAGAAGTGCTCCTATCTCCATGTTACTCTGTGTACTGACCTGGTACTTTAGCCATTAATGTCTCCATAAGCGTGCTGATTAAGAGCAAGCCGAGTGAGTTCTATAAGACATTTATGCCCTTTCTGACTGACAAGCACAAGGTTAACACAAATGAGCTCAGCCTAAGTATCAATGGGACCATCTGTAGAGATCAATGTGCGGTTTCTAATCACTTGTGTGAATATTTTGCTACTGTGGCTGATGGGATTGGAGACACCAGTGCGGTTGATGACAAAGTTCTAGCCACCCACCCTAGTGTCCAGAGTATTACGCAGAAGATGACAAGATACCAGGGCTTCCAGTTCCAGAATCTTCAGAGTTTTCATGTTGAAAAGGCGCTGCAAAACCTCAATGTAAGGAAGAGTACAGGCTGGGACGGCATCCCTTCCATGGCGCTCAAGCTTGGAGCTACTGAGCTAACAAATCCATTGACATCACTATTTAATTCATGTATAACCCTCGGAGAGTGGCTCTTGGGATGGAAAAGGGGTTAATGGACACCCATTTTAAGAAGGAAGATCCCCATGAAATGGGAAACTACAGACCCATAACTGTACAAGTTACTGTAAACAAACTCTTTGAACAGTTACTCAGCAAGAAACTCAGTTATGGTTTTAATAACAAACTGTGTGACAAACTAACAGCTTACAGAAAAAACAATAGCTGTGAGACAGCTCTGTTATCTTTGACTAAGAATTGGAAATTCGCTCTGGATGAGCATAATGTTGTGGGTGTTCTCTCCACGGACATGAGCAAAGCCTTCAGTTCACTTTACCATCCACTTACACTTGCAAAACTTAAAGCTTGTGTTGTTGAGGAAAGAAGTCAGCGATTGATGGGCTCCTACTTCACAGACCGTTATAACAGGGTCAAGCTAGGATCTGTAGTGAGTGAGTGGCAGAGGTGACCAGGGGATGCCCACATGGTTCTGCATTTGGACCTCTCATCTGAAACATCTTCCAAAATGATTTGACTTATACTGTTGATGCGAACATGAATATGTATGCAGATGACCACCAGTTTTATGCTGTTGGCAGCACCCTCTCTGATGTGCATGATGTTCTTGCTGTTTGCGCTGAGTCAGCATCTTCATGGTACAGAGCTAATTTACTAAAGGGAAATTTGGACAAGTACCAGACAATGGCACTTGGTTGCGAAAAGGAGTTTATGGACAGTATTATGATTGACAATCATGAAGTCAGATCCACTGAATGTCTCAAGCTATTAGCTGTCTGTATTGATAACAATCAACAATGGTTTTGATGAACATATAAGTAGTATCTCTAAGAAGAGTGCCCAGCGGGTTAGCGATCTCATGAGGCTTAGGAACCTTATACCCACACAAACTAAGTTACAGTTATATAAGGCAGCTACCTACTGTCATCTCATATGGCATTTTTGCCGTGCTAGTGATTCTAGATGACTAGACCGTATCCAGGAAAGAGCACTTAGGGCTATATATTGTGATAAACATTCGTCCTATTGTCAATTATTATTATCTATGGCCGGGCTATCTTCTCTACACAACCGGCGACTACAGGACATAGCTATTGTCATGTATAAAGTTAAAAACAACATGTGCCCACTATACATTAGCACTCTCTTTGAACAACCTGCAATTAAGTATAAACTGCGCAATCATGACTTCACTATTTAAGCAATAGAAAACGTTTTCCGCGTTTGCATAGCCTGATATAAACACGAGAGGGGTTGGGAGAATTCAAGACAGTTATGCAAACCCGAGACGAAGTCGAGGGTTTGCATAACCGTCGAGAATTCTCCCAACGCCTCCAGTGTTTATATCAGGCTATATGCAAACACAGGAAAAAAGTTTTCTATTGCTTTTATAAAATAACTTTCCCTAGAAAAAACGCAAAACTCTTTGTATGGCACTGATTAAAAGAGAAATTCTTACCAGTCGCAAAATCTTGTCCACGAAGTCTTGCACGCGTAATGAGTTCTTGTTTTGCAAAAAGATGCTTTGCAAAATACGGAGTTTTCTCGCTTAAAATGTCAGCTTAAGCGAAGAAAAATTGACTCACCTTCTTTGTAACGATTTTCCATGTTTCAGCCGACGAAGGAATGGGTAAATAAAGTAAACTTGTCGAGTTTTGAACTTGAAAACTATTTCAAATTTGGTGCTTGCGTGATTAGCGCGCGAAAAGCCAAACAACTTGACGCCACAACCATGTTTACATACTCTCATGCAAAGACTGCTCTCGGCCAATCAGAGCGCGCGTACTATCTTAGTTATTTTATAAACCCAGATTCAACACAGTCTCCTTTGGAAAGCACTCAAGCCAAAGGTATGGAGCTCTGTTCCTAGTAACGTGAAGAAAGCTTCCATGTTGTCCTCCTTCAAGTATAACATCAGAAAAGTGGATCTTAGTATGCTATTAGATGACAATAACTGCTCTAACTGCTCTCTTTGCATTTCTTAATTTTTTATTTCTTAATTTTTTTTATAAGATTAATGGATACATTTATACTTATTGTATATAGTTCTCCCGAATTTCTTATTTGCTTATACTGTACATAGTTTTTCTTAATTCTTATATTCTTTTCTTTTTTTTTTCATTTTTAATTAATTAATTGGTTTATTCTTTTTAAACTTATTTTTGTGTCCCTACTTAGTGGTTATACACCGCTTTTACAGTTTTGACACTTTAATAAAGGTATCATCATCACCATCATTTTACAAGGGCTCAATTCAACAAAATTTTAAAATGGTTACAATTAAACAGTACAGGTACAATTTTAAGGTTTGAAAACAATAGTGCACTCGTGCTTAAATTCTTGCTGAATTGGCCCCAGGAGAAGGTTTCAGAGGCTAACGGATATGTTGCAGTTAATTTTTTATTTCAGTTAATTTTTGTTTTTGCTTTGTTTCAAATTCATTAGCATTACCATACCCAAAAACAATGGAAAAATCTGAAAAATTACCTGAGATAAAAAAATTAACTACAACAGATGTGTGAGAAATGTGTCCATGCTTTGAAAATGCCAAACTAAAATTCTCATACTTTTTATTTCAGAATGATGAGGAGCCATTTCCAGTTGCAGGCACAGTTCAGTACCATCATTCACAAAGTAATGCTGCAAAAGGTTTCAAAATAATGTTCAAAAATTAATGACATTTCGACTCAAATACAGTTTGAGCAGTTGCACATAGACAATTCAGTGTACTGTATTGGAGTGGTCCTACTACCAAAATCACTAAACTGTATGCAAGGTCACTGGTTATTGATATTTTGTGCAATGACAGGGTGTTCCACACACTTCTATCTTGGTGGTTTTAAGACGTAAACTGTGAACTGTTGCTAAAAGGGAAGAAAAGTCACAAGTCCAGACCATTCTCGAAATTCAATCAGAACCGACAAATGAGCGAAACAAAAAAACCAATGTGAACTATCGTCCTTTTTAAGGGTGCTAACAGTTAATAGTTGTTTGGTGGTAAGCTGAGGACAACTTACTAATTTGGCTTGCACTCACAATGAGTGCAAACAATGAAGTAAACCATTCAGCATTTTGGGCAGTTCTGAGAAAGTTAAACTTTGATCTCTAGATTATAGGTGTGTGTCTGTAGCCTGAATTTAGAAGCCCTCTATTTCGTGTATTTAGGGGGAACAGTAATGTCCCAGTCAGTATTAATTTTTACCATTATATTGGCCTTTTTCTTTTTCTTTTCCTCAGTCGTAATCCATGCTTCTCTTGTTTGTCATAATTTCGTTTTTCTTTTCCACGATTTCAAGGCCATGTGCATCAATGGCACCTTTCACAGTTATGCTCAAAACAATAAACAAATTGTACAGCAGTCATACACCTGTCTAAATGTCGTATTTCAGAACGTAACTAAAGTTATCCTTGAAAGATTTTGGAGCCCTTGATAAGGGAGCTGTGTAAAGACACGTTTATGAGATTGTGTTCCTCGTAAGAACTTTCACTCTATAACTTCCTTTCCAATGACCTGAATCTGGGAGAAAAATCACGTTCCATGTTTTATCTACTTCTTGTAGGCATTGATAATGATGATGTGTTAGTTGAGGACCCTGGTTCACCAACCACTCTGCAACCAGAAGAAAGATTGACTCGCACTCGCAGTCGAAGAGGAGGTAAAACGAGAGGAAGTCACAAGTAGTTTGCACTGAACTTAACATTTTTAAAAATTGTTTCGTGTATAAAAACAACTGACACATTGTTAGTTTTGATGTAGTTTTGATATTGATGTTAACAACATTCAAACGTTGAAATGTTGCCTTGGTTTTATGCACTAATTCTCGTTCAATTGAACTTTGTAAAAATAGAAAAACACTGAAAGTAAAGTTTAACACTGTCAAACCTCTCTGAGCCGCCACCTCTCATAAGTAATCATATCAAGAATACATGTGTACCTTAAGCAGTTTCCTGGTAAAAGTGCCGTATAGTAGGCACATAGGCGGGTCTAGGTGGCCTGGAGCCCCTCTGAATGCATCCATCAAACCAGAAAATTATAAAATTTAATGATCGATTGCATTAAAAACTGAACTTATTATCCCTGATTGGTCGTACATTTACCAGAAAATATTGCTTAGCGGCCAGAGGAGGTGGCTGAAAACAGGCTGTAATAGACATAAGTTTGGACTGATCTAATAACAAATTTCTGGAACTACCCCTGCCACAAAATAACAATGCCACAAAATCTTGTCATTTTGTGCGGTTCGTTGTTTACAACCGATTTGAATGTATTAGCTAGTGGTTTAAGTTGAAATGGGTCGTAACCAATGCTTCACTCGCTTTTTTGTTGAAACCACTTTATTATTGTCATTTAAATGACTTGTCATTGAATCCATTTTAATTTACTTCCTCAGTTAGTGAAAGAGATGATAGTAAAAGCGGAATCAAGGACAGACTGAAAAAGCTTCTTACAAAAAGACCGCCTATAGAAGAACTGGAAAGAAAAGGAATTATTAAAGGTGGGTAACAGTGTTTCACCTGAGCAGATCATTACTCAAACGAGGTCTAAATCGTTTTTAACCTTCCTCAGTCTATTTGTTTTAATTTCCTCTGTCATATTTAATTTAAGTGGATCATCATCATCATCTTCATCTTCATCATCATCTTCATCATCTTCATCATCTTCATCTTTATTACAGTAGAATCCCGGTAACTCGAACTCTGAAGGGAAAAGAAAAACAGTTCGAGTTAGCCGGGTAAATTTTAGTGCAATTTTGACCAAGAGAAACTGAGGAAATTTAGTTCGAGTTAGCGGGGAATTCGAGTTATCCAAGTTCGTTTTAATCAATTATTAATTTTTTTTTGCAGAAAGCGTATTTGGATGCCACATTGCTCACCTGTGTGAAAGGCAAAATACATCAGTACCCGCGTTTGTTAGCCAGTGTATTTCTGCTATTGAAAAGAGAGGTAGGTAGTGAAAGACATCTACCATTATTGTTAGATACGTGATGTGGTTCAGTCTTTTTTTAGGTGTCTTGCTGCAGTTCAGTTGAAAAATTGTGTTAAAGGTATTTTTTCTCCCAACGTTTCTTTACGATCTCAGCCTTTAGTTTTGCCATTTCCCCAAGACTTATATGAAGTTGGAAACATCTGCAGACAGCCTAACCAACCTTAAAATGTCAGAAGTTAGAAAGTATCAACACAAACACAAGGGCAGAAAAAGTGAAAAGTCTTTGTAGATGTTTCTTAGCGAAGAAAATGTCCAGTTTTGCCTGCTTTAGGACTTCACTTTAAATTAGGTGCAAAAATGCCACAAGGTCGAATTTTTGGGACTACGCTCTTGCGCAACCTGACATGGTTCGTACAATCTTGAAAAGGTCTTGAATTTTACTAGTCGTCTTGAAAAGTCCTTGAATTCGGTTTTGGTCCTTGAAAAGTACTTGATTTTTTTATTAGGTTATAAAAAGCCCTTGAAATTCACAACCTTGTCTACGCCAGACACCTTTTTCTGTAAAATTAAATAATTTTGCCAAGGAAAATTTGGCTCATCCTCGGTGTAAGAACCTGTAAAACTCAGGGATAACATAAAAAAAATTTTTTGCATGAACAGTACAGTCTAACTTCTCCTTACGGACACCTCTCTATTACGGACAGTTCGTTTGGTCCCAGAAATGCCAAAAATCATACATTCCCTACCTCTATAATACGGACATCTCTGTAAAGCGGGCAATTGGTTCTGTCCCTTTGGTGTCCGTATTAAAGAGGTTTGACTGTATTTTATTTCTCGGTTTCTCTATTTCAAGTGCTGTTTCTTTACCTCAGATGCAATTGCAAGTCATACCCAGTCATTTCGCCAAGTTCTGTTATGGAAAGTAGTATAAAATTATGTGATCAACGATGCCCGAAGAAGTAAAAGTCGTAAAAGACTCCATGTCGTGTTTTAGCCAATAGGGTGATCAAAGGGGGTTAAAAAGTTCCGATTTATTAAATAAATCTTAGTCCTTGAAAACTGTAATTTGTCCTTGAAGAATCCTTGAAAAGTCCTTGAAATTTGTTTGCCTGAAGTTGAACGAACCATGCCTGAGTATACGTGCAACTTAGTCTAACTTGATATTTCACATCTACTAGAAAAAATATCCACCCACATAGAGGTACCTCAAATATTATTAATTTTACGAAGGTTAATTTATTATGCGGTCTTTTCTTTTAGGATTATCGTTTGATGGACTGTACAGAGTATGTGGAAATGTGTCGACTGTTCAGAAGATCAGAATTTGTATTGACCAAGGTTAGTTTGTGGACGGTCTTAAACAGAAAGAAAGGCACCGAGCAAATTAGGCGTGTTTCAACGTTTTTGTACAAGATCGTAATCTCTCATTGTTAACTCTCTTCTGGACGACTGAGATGACGCATGAAATGCTTAAATATAACTTCGCAGTGAATCTATCCGCAGCAGATCGTGGTTTTACAACGCTTGCCATTTTAAACATATTTTCATTTTTTTTCGTGGTTGTTCTAATCTTTGTTCTGAATAAAACTCTTGGTGTACGTTTAAGTGATTAAATTGTTTACTGTTTACATTGAAATTGTCCTGTGGAAATTTAAGAATTCCTGCATTGTTCTTAAAAGCCTGTAAGGTAACTTTGTGTCGCAAGGTAACAGGAATTAGAAAAGAATTAGAAAGTGGTTCCAGAAGTGTTATTTTATAGATCGGGGAATAAACATTTCATTACTAAAAATTCATTGAGAGAAAGTGAAGTACAATCATTTCTGTGGTGAAATTCAACCAAGTATTGCTTGCATTTCTCCAAAATTATTTGCTGTTTATGACGAGTGAAATGCTTAATAACAATATGATTCGACATATTACGGAGGTGTTAATTAACCTGTATTATTTTGTGCTTGATTTCACAGAGGAGAAAATTCATTTAGGTGAAGCACCTTTTGACGATGTTCATGCACTCACTGGAAGCTTAAAGCTTTACTTCAGAGAGCTGCCTGAACCACTTATTCCTTACGACTTCTTCAGCGGATTTGTAGAGGCAATAAGTAAGTTATAAACATTGCTTGTTAATCAGGTTTACTGACTCTCCTCACGAGAGGTAATCCAAGACAGTCTTGGATTCTGGATTCCACGCCACGAATTCCGGATTCAATGCACTGGATTCCGGATTACTTATCAGTGGAACTTGAAATCCGGATTCTAATTGTTAGTGGAATTCCAGATTCCTTGAGCTGAATTGTGGATTCTAATGCCCAAGATTCCGGTTTCAATAATCACAACCTTTGCCGGATTCGGGATTACTTTACACGGGGTGAGGAATCAGAAAATCCTTCATGTATCTCTCTCTCTATATCTCAACAAACGTGTCCTCCCATCCTCTTCATGCTGAGTGGCACATAAGGCTTCTATTAGGTTCCACAATCTTGTTTTTCCAATCAAGAATTTAACCCCCAACCTGGGGGACCAGGGTGCTGCTTTGCCTGACCCCTCTCCTGTAAACCGATCAGCTTGTTTGAATCTGCGAGGGGCAGAGATTTGTCAAAGGTTTCTTAAGGGCACGCAATCCTCCCCGTGAAATCAAGATACGGCAGTAAACTTAATTGACAATATACTTTTTCCAGAACAAAGCACCAGGAAGAGCAAATTAACTGCGATGAGATCACTGGCAGTTCAGATGCCAAAGGTGAACGGTGAAACTCTCAAGTTGCTGCTGCGTCATTTGCGGAAGTAAGTATTTTATTCTCTTCCGTGGCATAGTAGATAGATTCCGAGTGCCGATGCAGAAAATGTTGACTAATAAGACACAACGGGCGTTTACGTGGCTTGCTTGCATTTACTCATATAGGCTGCCGCTCAGCGAGTTTGGTGGGACATCTATAAACTTACGCTTGGGCGTCTTTCTCTAGCCCGCAGTCAAGTATCTTTAACTCACAAAAATGTTGTATTGTCAACTGAGTTGTTTAGATAAACTGGCAACCGTAAAGACATTCAAGAGATGTCGTTTGCACCGTGTGTTTTGTTGCAAATTCTTACTGACAGGGTACCGCAATGTTTCTAGAGACCAACCCGTTTACCTGTGAATTTTAAAGCACATCGCTTATTGTTACAAGTTCCATTAGTTTTTCAACGCCATGGCTCAAAACCTCTTCATACTCTTTCAAGGACAGCATTGTGCAAGGCAGTGGAACACTTTTTGAAAGTAGATCAAGTTATCTTGGTGTGGTTTCTAAATTGTGCGAGTATTTAAAATTAATAGAACTCGTTTTAGGGGGAGTCGCAGGAAAGCAGGCACACGCCAGGGCGCGCTTGCGCGTTCTCTTCGCTGCTCGCTTTGCATACCACTCGACATTCGCCACTTAGAAACGAGAAACAAACTGGGCCGAGTTAAGGACCTCTGGGATCGTAACTATTTACGCGCCGGTTAGCTATTGGTTAATTTTTTTCTTTGTCCCCAGTAACATTCCCAGAAATCTTTGCGAAAGTTTACTCGGGTCCAGTTTTCGAGCTGTTTCTAAAGTGGCGAATGGGGAGCTTGCTCGCACAGCCTACCCAAACTATGGCACATGCTTTACCCTAACGCAGTCGGAATACTTTCAGGTTGATGGTTCAGAGTGAGGCAAATCGAATGAATGCACAGAATCTTGCTATCGTTTGGGGACCAAACCTAATGTGGCCTCGGCACGACTCCGGAGACATCGCACTCAACATGGTTCACCAAAACCAAATTATAGAATTCCTCCTACTGGAATTTGATCATGTCTTTAAATAATCTTTGGTAGGGAAATAAACTAATTAGCTTGTATTATATTTTCCATCGAAATCGCGTTGTAACGAGATAGAAGCGTACTGTCTTCTCAGTGAGAAAGTAGGTCTCCTCATTCTTTGTATATTGAGTCACCGTTGTTGGTCCTGACATTATTTTGCCATGCTTTAGAAGTGAAAAATATTCGTGTACATAACATTTGGGAAAAAAAGGTATAACAGGTTACATGGTACTGTGCATTGGTTGATTTGATTTTAAATGAACATAAAAATCTTCAGTAAGTTCTTACTTAGAATGCGGGGCTACCTTTCTGCCACTGTAGCTCGTCCAAAGACTTACTCCTAAAGTTACGGGGAATTTTTTCTCCTTGATGCTATTTATCTCTTTTTAAACGTGTTTTCACCTTCATCATTTCCGCTTTTAAGCAAGCGATTAAGATTTTTTTCTACAGTGGACTGTCATTACGAGGCTTCTGTCTGAAAGGGGCACGATATTCCTGCAGTTTCGATAAACACGTTTTGTAAAACGACATTTGTGCAAAGAGCATTCCGTGTTTATTTTTGTGGGTAGAGGAATGTGTTTAGTCGTTAAATAACAACGCAGCTGATTAACCTTTGAGGCTAGATTTCACCAAAAGAGAAACATGGCCTGTTAGCGAAAGTCTTCAGAAAATCGTTATCTTATTCCCCCTATTTTGAAGTAAGCACCTCGTCTTCAACCCCTTATAGTGAATTTGAAATAAGCGCCGAGGGGCCGGACCCTATTTAAGATGTATTTTGAATATCGTCCCCACGTAATACTGAACCGTTTTCGAGCAACTATATCTTCGTGACCTGCAGCACGTAATCAAAAATTCAGTTTTACAGGTTCTACATCTTTTAAGGTTAGTTTCAAACCTAGCTATTGAGATATATTTTTTTTATGGGAGGTGTAGGACAGTCCAGTCCCTGGGCGCTTATTCGAGGGTTTTCCACGAGTCATATCGTGCCAACATCGTTTACAGATTTGTGAGAGCAAAACTGATATTATATATCCTGAAGTAGAACTGCAGTAGCTAATATGCTACTGCAGAACGAACACGAGACCAATAATTTGAAGGTCTACAACGAAGATGTGAAAGTGTATAGACTGGAGTGAATAGAACAGTTATAAATTTTAAATATTTGTTCCGCCGATTAACATTTTACAATCACCAGGTACAGAAAATAAGAATAGAGTACCAACAGAGTGTAATTAGATATGTGGCTAAATTCAGTTTACAAAATTTACCGACTTTGTTCTTGCAGACGTTTTTGCATGCATAAAAAGAGGAGAAACCAACTAAGAGTTTACACTGAAGCGTTTGACGTAGTCATTTTATCGTGATGTTCACATTGGTTCTCTTGACTATTTTGTAATAAAACAGTGGAACTGGGTATTCTGTGTGTTATGTAACTTGATTACTTAGAGTTGTTTGGACATCGCTAAAGAAATTTTAGCAAATTTTCTTTCGTTCCTTGTTTGTAACCGCCGCCCGGTTAGCTCAGTTGGGAGAGCGCCGGTCTGCTGAGCGGGAGGCCGTAGGTTCAAACCCCGGCCGGACCAACACTCAGGGTCTTTAAATAACTGAGGAGAAAGTGCTGCCTTTGTAATAACATCTGCAAATGGTTAGACTTTCTAGTCTTCTCAGATAAGGACGATAAACCGTAGGCCCCGTCTCACAAGCCCTTGCACATGTAATAAATCTGTGGGACGTTAAAGAACCCACACACTCTTCGTAAAGAGTAGGGCACGTAGTGCCCGGTGTAGTGGTCTATCTCACTTTCACACTCATGTATGGGGGCATCATCACTCATTCCTTGAGTACTTGTAAACTGCACCTTAAGCAGTCTGGCAAAGTCCCCCAACCAGTGTTGTAAATTATCCCTGAAAAGCCCTGTGGGGAGTGGATAATAAGATATTTACAATTTACAATTTACAGTTACCCATTCAGGTCACGAGATATTTGACATTTAGGCTATACGCCACTTGCACATCTCCCATAATGCACCTTATTCGCGCCGCGCCNCCCCCCCCCCCCCCCCCTCCAAAAAAAAATTGCATAAACTTTGTTTTTCATTTCTCCTGGGTCTTACAGCCGTCCCAAGGGAAATTGAAAACAATGCTTATGCAAAATTTTGCTGGGCAAATAAGGTGCGTTGTGGGAGATGTGCAAGTGGCGTATGTTCATACTGTACGGTATACTTCCTCCGACACGAAAACCATACGGGATAGGATAGGACTTCTGTTCACACATGATGACGGTGATTTGGGCGCGATTTCTACACCGGATGGAGCGAACCTCTGTCAACCCGATATTGAAAGGAGATCGTCACATTTAAAATATGATTGTTCTACTTTTCGTCGTAGTGTTAACAGGTATCGGGACCGTAGCCAAAGTAGGAGCGACGACAAACGTAAGATTCTAGTTGACAATTGAGCACAAGAAAAAACTGTCCAAAATAATTCTTATAGATAAACTTGACGTCGAAACCTCATCTTGTCGTGTACAGATAAGGATCAGTTAACGATAAGTAAAGGGAAGTTCTGTCCACGTGGGCTTGCCTTTTGACGTCATGTACTCCTGATTACATTTGACACAAATGGTTCTTTGAAGTAATAAATTGAAATGCGTTTTTACAGACCTTACGGAACTACGAGGGCGATAGCCACTGGAAAATCAAATTCTGGTTTGCAGCTGAATCACAGGGGGCTTTTCCATCTGAGGGCGGTCAGTTGGGTCGAGGCCGAAACCGAAGAAAGATTTTGTCAGTCGGAAAACTCTCGGAATTACCGATCGCTTGCCGAATAATATGCCGTATTATAAGAGATATTAGAAGCTCCGAAAATCTTTTGGTTCCAGACCTCGCACCAGCTAACCGCATAATATAGAAGAGAAGTCGTTACTTCACGTTGCCATGGTAGCAAAATTTTTGGATCTCAACAAACCGTGGTCCTGCAAATATGACAGAAAAAACGTAAAAAATTGACATGTATGACTTTCCTGTACATGACTGCACTCAGAAACAAAACGGTAGCCCACAATTTCCTTCCATCGTTCGAAAATGCAAATGGCCGTCTCTGTCAAGAAAGAGTGAGATCCAGAAAGTTTGCTACCATGGTAACTTGACGTTGCAATTTTCCTCTCTATTGAAAATAGCAAATGAACATTTTAACTGCAAAGTATGCCGCAATGCGAGGCTAAGTGCGAAACAATTGACATGAAAATGATTTTTGATTCTCATGCAAATAAATCTCATTTGCATAAGAAAGGTCTTGCACTTAACCTCGTTTTGAGAGTAAAAGTCCTTGGAGCTCGGAAGGGCATGGCCCATCGGCCGTCATTTCGGTGAATGAAACTTATTTGTACAAATTGTAAACGCGACTCCGGGATGAAATGTACCAGTTCATTAATTTTGCTTACCATTTGCCCAAACCGTGAACCGACCGGTAAACAATCAAAGTGTATTATGGAGATTCGAAAATACAGGCGCTTTTCGACGATGCGTCCAAGCAAATATCACTTTTCTCCTCGACACTTTATTTGTTCCCTTTTATGGTACAGCGACATCACACCGGTCTACCCGGAGCGCAATCTATTAGTCAAATTAATTATGATCTTAGGCTTAGTGTGCCCGTTTCAGCAGATCAAGATCACTCTTCCACTGAGGTTAATAATATTGAAAACTGGGCGGTAAAAAACCGTATGAAACTAAACCCTTAATAGACTTGGGAGATGGTGGTCTGTGGCAGGATTTCTAAGCCGCTTACACCTTTGGTACAGGGGGTTGAACTGAAAAGCTTAAAAATTATTTGATCTGTTAATTATGCCCCTGTTTTTATACGGGATCGAAATTTAGGGTGCTGCCTTTCAAGGCAAATATCTTGATCGTATCGGATATACAAATATGCATATATGTAATAACTGAGGTTATTGGAAATCAGGAACTGTAAATTATGGAAAAATATTACAGAGAATCCCTCTCATCCTCTTTTCGAGGTGTTACCCCCTTAAGGCAGAAACCTTTGCCAAATTTTATTTTAACTGCAGTCAAAACGGAACGTTTTAAAAGATCTTTAATTTATTTACAGATGACTCTTTCAATTTGTCTGCCATTGTAATTGATTTTCTTTATAAATTTTTAGTCAGTTGATGCAAGTATATTTTGTAAAGCCACACGTGTGTTGTGACTCTATTTGTTCTGAACTATTATTATTTTTCTTTTAATAGTCACTTAATGTTCACGAAATTCGGCTTGTCTCATAGCTTTTTACTGAGTGAGTCATGACCAGCCTGAATCGTGAAACGACATGTTTCTGAACGAAGTGCGGAACCACTTGGCGTAGGGATTCCAGGTCTGTTAACAATTCGTGCGGTATGGTTTCTTCACGTGCTAGAAGACCTCTAACTTTATGTGCTTGAGCTTTTCCATTTTGAGTTTTAGTTCTTTATAGAGGAATTGATATAACTTGTTCCGTTAAATTAAATAGCCTCCGCTCTCTAATTAGCCCACCGGAGGTTGGGGGGGCGGGGGAGGGGTAGGTACTCAACAAAGTTTTATATGGGAGGCTCCGCCCGGAGGTCCAACCACTGACCCTTTTAAGCATATACCATTTTTGACAGAAAAGCCATCTCTTAAAGAAACGTAGTTTGGAACTTTACATCCCTTTTAGCGGCTGTAAATGTACTGTCCTTAAACTACAAATAAATCACAAAATCAGAGCGTTTTCTCGACTTTTTCACAACCATAAAAGGAACCTGCAACCCTTTTGGGATCTTTTGGACCTTTTTTCTAAACGAAATGACGGATTTCCCTAACCTTTCATATACTTCAACAAGTAACTGAATCCTAACCTTTCATATACTTGAAGCCTTTATAGTAGGTATTCCCTTAGACGGAGTCTTCCCGAATAGGTCATTTGTAGGGAAACCACCTTCCGAGACCCCACCTCAAACGTGCTTGCATGGGAGGCTAATCATATTTGAACTTTAGGAGGTTTTGTGGTACACGTATTTCTCGTTATTAGGTGTGATCAGCCATGACTAGGTATGGCTAGATATGACAAAGCATCCCTTTATAGTATGATAAGGTAATGGTTAGGTGCCGTGAAAAACTATTATTATTTAGTCTTCTCTAGAAGAAGCATTTGAGTTTTGCTGGAGCTCGTAGGCAGATGAACACAACACTTTTCCAAAATCGACCATAAGACACGTAAAATTGGACAAATTTACTGTTGGAACTCCATGACTACCGGAGTTATTGTGTAAACATTGATTTGCGTCATCAGTATGGAATTTCTGTCGCTAAGTCGCAGACGTTCCTCCGCGCGAAGCGTCTTCAGCGGCGAAGAGCGAGGAGAAACGGATGTTTTTGACAAAACTTCCTCTTAAGAAGAGGTTAATTAGCTTAAGCTGAATAACAAATAGAATGGTATGTATGGAGAGAAGAACTTGGAAAAAACATTCTGAGTTCCAGAGGGGAATTGAAGCCAGGACCTTGCAGACACTACTGGGATGCTTCTTTGGTCCAAGACCGAGAAGGACTGGGAAAACGCCGTACAGGGATTCGGCAAGGATGCTCTAACCACTGAACTCTAAGAACTCTAGGTATGAGCAAATCATTTGTTAAGATGGTTACTAATTAGAGAATTTTCAGCCATATTAAATATAACAACACTTTATGATGCCTTTGGAACATATTTACATTATAGGTGTATTTTACACAGTGTAACATACTTAAGTTCATTTGAGATTTATAAACTTTTCATTTCATAGGACCAAAATCCAATCGATCTTCCTCCGTGACATATCACTAAGTACTAAAGAGGATAAAAAGATTGAGAAACTTGTTGGAAAACTCTTTCATCTAACTTGCCCATGAATCAGTAAATGAAAATAATAAAAATAACCAAAAACGTGCTTTTATAGTATTGGTTCCATGTTAATGAAATTATTTAAACAAAAGAACGATGAAATTTAAGGATGGTATTGCTCCACTCTTTGAAGTAGTGTTTGGGCGTAACCAGGTGAGTAATATCTGTAACAAGAAGAGAACAAGAGATGAATATGAAGAAAGAAGGATAGTATAGAAAACTCTGATGTCAAGTTTCTAGCGTGGGAAAATGACTTCTGAGGAATGGGCGCAGAAATTCCATACTTATGACGTGTAACTACCCAGATCTGGATAGTGCTTCTGATTGATCGTCGATCGTGCGCG